GTTTGAGTTAAGATTTGAAATGGAAGATTGATTTTCAGTTCATAGAAGTTATGGGTCCGAACTCATTGGTTAAAATGGATATATTGGGAGTTGTTTACGGTAGATAAACTATACATTAATGACCTTATGTATAGTTGGTTGAATGAAGCATTTAATGTTCAAAAATTAACATAAATGAGGTAGTTGGGAGAGTTTGATATTCATTAATGGTGGTTTAATGACTCATTAATGGTAATGTGAGTCAATGAAACCTAATGAACTCATTGGGTATGAATAAATGGTAAATTTGTGGATTGATAGAATAGATATGTAGAGTTTGGTATTGGTAAATCCTAAAAAATGAGATGATAATAGTATCCTTGTGCTATGAATTTAGAGAGGTTCAATTTGGCACCATTCAAGATAGTAAGAAGCTTGGGAAGTTAGTATTATGAGGAGTAAATTTTTGATCTTTTAAAGATTTGAGGTAATCGAAGAAAACCTAATTTTTATAGTTAAATATTAATTGTGTTTGTAAAATATGGTTGATGGTTTAAATTAATGATGCAATTTGACAATATGTTTAACTTTTGAAATAGTTTTGAAAAAAGAAAATCTTTTACAAGCCATTATTGTGATTGATGATTTGGTTGGTGGCATAATGAAGTGAAAGTGATAAATGTGATGTTTTGAAAATGCTCTATATGTGATATATTAATTGTGGCTTATTAGGAGTAAGAGATTAATATGATATTGTGTTGGTTATGAATTGGGTCACATGTACATTTATATATGGCATGTGCATCATATGATCATTGGCGCGAGTTCATCTAAAGAGATGAGTAGATGATTAAATTCACGTGGTACTGACAGTGATCGTTGGAATTGAGAGATTACCTTGGCACTGACAGTTAGAATTAGAGTCAGGCACACGAGTTGAGCTCGCGGGCTAGCCCATTTAACCCGCACAATTTGATGGGTTGGGTTAAAGAAATTGGCCCATTTTTTAAAACGGGCTGGGTTAGCCCAACCCATAAAATTAGTGGGCTAAAATGAGCTAGCCCGCGCGCTAGCATATTTTAAAAAATAATTTTTTATTTTTAATTATATTATATCTTTTTATAAATCTACAATAATAATAATATTTCTTAAATGTGTAATTTATGACTCTCAAATATGTTCTTTACATTGAAAATATAGTGTAAATCTTTTTTACAGTTTGCAAATAAAATTTTTGTTATAGTTTGTAAAGATGATTTATTAGTTTTTATAGAAATATTTTAAATATATATTATTTATTAATCTCATAAAATTTATTGATTGAAATTATAAATATGAATTCACTAAGAAAAATAATATGGGTTTATATTCAAATTTTCTTTCTCAGTGACAAAGATAGCACACCTAGGCGAGAAGATGATTGATAGTAAAAATCTAGCAAAATGAATTTGCTTGGTTGAATTCTATGTTTATTTTATTTATTTACAAATTTTTTAATTGCTAATTTATTTTAAAATATGAAATAAATAAATATATTTATATTATATAAATTTTAAATTATTAAAAAAATCTAATAATTTTTTGTGGGCCAACCGGTGGGTTGGCTAGCCCATTAGAAAATGAGTTGGGTTGGATTTTTCAACCCGTTTTATCTGGCGGGCGGACCCAACCCAACCCAACCCAACTCGCAAAAATACCAGCCCACACATAACCCGTTTGCCCAGTGCTAGTTAGAATAGAGAGGTAGCTTATGTCCCATAATTGATTTGGGATTGTTCTACTTATTCTACGAGGGGCTCAAACTTAGCTAGTCTCTATTGATTCATGAGGAGGCTAAACTAAGGTTATGACACCCTATGGTTGTTAGTATTGGGGAAAACTAAATAATATAAGTGAGTGAGTTAACCCTGACCCAGTAGTTTCTCACAAGTAGAAGGCTAAGTTAGTTCATAAAGGACGTAATTATCAGCTTCATGTTGAAGGTAACAAAAGGGTATAAGGTTGACATTCGATTATGCATTTTAATTTGGCCACATGATTGTTAGTATTGTGGTTTGTTATGTGTTAAGGGCACATGGTTGGCATTATTACAATCCCATGATGTGCATTAATAATGTGTGAATATGTATATGTGTATTGAGCCCAGTCATATGGTTGTTAGTATTGTGAACCGTGGCCAAGTCCATCATATGTGCTGTATTTGTGTATTCTTGTTTATTTGCATTTGTTTACAATTGATATGTAACTATATAGATTAGGTGAAACTTGATAACTGAGTGGTTGTACTCATCCCTCAATTCTCAATATTTTCAGGGTCTAGCTCATCGGATTCAACTTGGGGAAAACACGCAAAGGCTTAGGATTTGTAAAGTAATCCTTTTGTATGCCTCTCTTTGTTGTTTTATGTGTATGAATGTTAATGCAATTTTTAACTAGGAGTTACATGTTATTTTTGTACTACTTGCATTATTGTAGTATATAACTTGCGTATTTTGTGCCTTGGGTTGAAGACTTTTGGTTGAAAATCTGTAGATAGGATCAAAATACTTGTGTAAGTAGGAAGATGTGTATTTTAAATGATTTGAAATGAAAATGATGGTTTTATGCATAATTTTCCTCCTCCTTGTGTTTTGTGAAAATTGAGATTGAGTGATGATTTTGAGATATATGTGTTTTTGATTGTGTATTCCTCCCCTTTATGTTTTGCAAAAATTGAGGTTGAGTGGTGATTTTGAGATATATGTGTTTTTGATTGTGTATGGTGTATTGCACAAGTCTACTAGAATTAACTGAGTGTGGTCGAATGGTCGATGTAGGCTTTTGGCAAGTGAGGTTGTGTTGGGACACCATGGTTGTGAAATTTTAGTGAAAAAGTAATAAAATGAGTTTTGGTGTTTAACTTTTTTAGAAAATAAATTTAAGTGTGAAACTTATGCCATTAGCTAGAGTTAGAAAAAAGTTTTGTGTATACACTGAAACCACATTAATTGGATGTCGGACGAAGATTTGGTATGCATTTAAAGTTCGCTCCCTATGTTGTCATTTTGACAGCTAATATCTATCATTTTCGTGCAATGCACCATGGCGCATGGCATAGAGAAGGATGAGCCGTGGTGCATATGTCATAAGTCATGACGCATGGGTCATTTTCTACACAAAACATATTTTGAGTTTTAATACTCTTTGTTTTGGGCCCTGTTTGATTTTCAAACTTTCGCGTTATTTTTAAATTCTGATTTTAAACATTATAAGTGTGTGTTAGTGATTGAAATTGAACTTTGGGATCCCATTGTAAATGATTTGAGAATTCTTTTCTTTTAGGTAATATTACAACTTTGGTAATTCTTTGAGGATTAACCTTTGATTACCATTTTTATGGAGTTAAATGTGGTTAAGTAAGGGAGACCTTACACTGGTCTTGATGGTCACTGTCATTTCAGTCCTTATGGAAATCAGCCATCCAGTCCTCGTCATTGTCGTCAGTCTAGTCCTGGTGGAAGTCGGTCATTCCATCCCGCTCGACATTGTCGGTTCAATCACAGTAGAAGTTGCCCGTCTAATCTCAATCAATGGTGGCAGCTTGTTTTCATAAATTTTGACAGTCCAGTTCAATTATTGTTGGTAAGTCGATCAAGCTTTCATATATTTGAGTTAAATTATAAAAAAAAATTGAGTTAAGATTTGAAATAATAGGTATTTAAAAATGATTTCAAATTATAAAGAAATTGATATAGAAGTCTGATTTGAATTTAGATTTGGGTTAAATCAAGCATATATTTTTAATTATCTAAACAATAGATTTAGCTTAAATCAAAATCAAAATTCAAATTCTTATATATCCAAACATAGCATCAATGTTCATTCCCTAAACACATTAATATATATCACAAAAACACTACTTCTATTATGTCCCATGGCAAGCAGCAGTTGATTCCATCTCACCGCTTAATATAGCAAATAGCATCAGGGTTACGATAGCACATTCGAATTTTGATAACCCTTTTATAGCATAGATGCCATCTCAATCCTAAAGTTTCATTAGCCAATGCTTGACTAAACCAAGAACTATATTGTTAGTAAATTCAAGTAAACCGAACTTAAAAGACACGTATGGTGTGATACCCCCGGAAATGTCATTAACACTGAAAGCAACTATGAACATCTAATAAAACTATATGCTCTCTTTCATCTTTATTTGATTTTGGGTCATCCATCCAACAAAAAGGACATTTTCCCCATCGGTTGAACAAATCCATATTGATGTTAACATATCATTCTTATCTACAACAAAATTCATAAAAATTTACATTATTCACGAGTCATAAATAATATGATTAATTTTCATCTCCTATAATAAAAAATATCCATCCAATTTCAATAAAAATTTACTCCCTCTGTTAAAAAATATAAGGTATTTTTAATCGAATCTCATCTCTAATAAAGTATTTACTTATCTTTAAACTAACCCTATTTTTTCATATTTACCTCTATTTAATAGGGTGTTTCATTCTAAAATAAATATAAAATATTTATTCAATAGGGATACTTTTAAAAAAAGGCAATAATTATATATTGAAAGATTAAAAATATTTCATATTTTTTGACATTCAACTTTTTAAAAAATATTTTATATTTTTGAATGAAGGAAGTATATTTTAGCTTTATTTATTTACATGTATCTTTTTATTTGAAACAATTTTATTTAAAATATAGTTAAATACTAAGTATAAATATTTTTTTTATGAGAATTTAAATTTTGATGCGCAACATTGTGAGAAATTATTTTTTTTCTCACTAGATTCAATTCTAGGGCTATCATCCATCTTAATTTTGAGGCTTCTAGTTTTGTTGCTCAGTAGAAATTCTACTTTAATAAATTATACATCGCCAGCTGTCTGGGTGGTGTAGTTGGTTATCACGCTAGTCTCACACACTAGAGGTCCCCGGTTCGAACCCGGGCTCAGACATTTTTTTTATTCTTCTATTTTTTAATTTCCATTTTCCTGGATACATGTTCTCCTTCGCCATAGATTATAAGCAACTGTGCTCTCCTTACATCTCTTCCATCACTGATCAGTTCGTTGAATGCAAACTACATCTATCTCTGTTTCTTGCTTCGAATTCCATATAGGTTACACTGAATTTTCCTTCTTCCTAGGGCCTTCGCTGAGCAGACGAGAAGAATCGGAGTCATGGATTGGGGAAATGTAACAGCAGAAGATCTGATCGATGCCCTCCGCGAAGTGGACTGGTCATCACCGCCGCGTCCTCTCTCTGAATTCTTCTCGAGATTCACCGTACCGAGATCCTCCTCTAAATGGAATAGCCGCCTCAAATGCAACCTGTACTAGTACGATTTCCTTCTGGGGCTAAGTAGTTCTCTTCCCAAATCACTTGATTTTGAGTTCAATTTGTCATATTGTACAGTAGCTGAAAGATATCTCCGTCCTTTTACACTTCAGTTTCTGTAAATTATTTCGGATAGTGCTTTAATGATGGTGATGTTGGAGTCAACGATTTTAGGATACTTTTTCCTGATTTTTATTTTGTTTTTCCTATGTTAATTTTTCGCGGTCAATGGGAAAACTCTGTTTATAATATTTTATTCTTGCAAGTTTCATTAAGCCCCACAATTTTTGGTTTGCTTGACAAGTTCTTAATTCTGTCCCAAGTTCAAAACGCTACCCCTGGTTTGACAGGATTCAATGACATAGGAAAACTTAAATAATCCTAATTTTTATGTGAAATATTAAACCAATGCACCTTGGACGTTGTGGATAGTTGAGCCAATACTACCAGGCCAGGATAACTGTTGGATAAATTTATAGTTTCTCTGCGTGATTGAAATTGGCGATGCATAACAGCATAAGCTTACTAAGATTACCTCCACTATAGATTTACAGCCGGCATGTAGTTCGATACAATCTTGGGTATCAAGAAGGGCCATCCGAACATAAAATAACAAAGACCAAAACAGAGAAATGTGAGGTGAATTTCCTTATAGGATATGCGCTGATCATGGAAAGGGATTGAGGAAAACAGAAAAGAGACCTTCCTCTTCGAGTCTGGAAGGAGCAGCAAAGTCCAAGCTACAACTATTCATACATTTTTTTGCATGCTTCTCTTGCATTCCGGCAGTATACTCCCTTTATTGAAAGGAATATTACTTTATTTGGCTGATAGATTTGTTATTCTCCCTGATCAGCCTTCTAACCAACCTCAAGTCTTTATTCAGTTGAAACTCGTGCTCCCACATATGGAGCCTTCTCACTGCTCTATCTTCCCTTTCGCCCCTTTGCTTCCATCTGCATCATATCCTACATTCATCCTCACATAGTTGATGATGTAATATCTGCTCCAGCTTAAGTTTTCATGATCTCTTTTGTTTGTTTAACTACTTATGTATAGTTAATTCTTGCAAGTTCCACGATAATTCTGAGTTCATAGGCTGAAGTCACTTTTAGGTAATACTTATTTCTGTAGACAAGAGATATGATTACTATTCCTAATTTCTATAGTATTCATTGGTAAATAATGATACTTATACATACAATGTATTTGCAGCTACCGGACCAACTACTTCCTTTTGATTGTTTCTGTTCTCAGTAAGTGAACATAATTATGTATTTATTTTTTTCCATTTCCACTTAATATATACATTCGCTACTCAACTTTCATGCTTTGAATTGTAGTATTGGGTTTTCTTCGAAGGCCGCTAGCTATTGTAGCTGCATTTCTTACAGCACTTAGCCTTGCTTTCTTAAATGACAGGTTTGTCAAATAACTCCCTCTCTTATTACATCATCAGTTGGAGTTCACTTGATTTCATGAATAATTTGGCCTAATGTTATTGTACTACTGTCTAGGAAGAAACTTTTCTTAAATGATATAGGATATTGCTGCCATATTAGGCATTGATCATCTGACTTCTTCGTTGTGCAACCAAAACAAGTCATGTTTCATGGCACCATAGTTTATGGAATTTTGGCGTTATACATTACAGTTTAATATCTTATATATCCAATTGCGTATGTATTTTTGTGTGTGTGTGTGTTTCATTTTTTAAATATAGTTTGAGATCCACAAAGATACATAACTGCTGAGTATGGAAAACATATTCATCTTAAATTCTTCAATTTAAGTGTATGGAGGTTTTGTTAAACTTGATTTTAGGATCTTGAATAGGCACTTTGGATGGCTTAGGGAAACAAAATTTTACTGTCTTATTGAATTCCTAACCCATTACGTCATAAGTGTTTTAGCTTTGATATTTTTTGTGCATTGATTTAATCTGTAATCTTTGGCAGCTTTGCAGGAACCTTTAGTGAGAAAGTAACACGAACAGTTAGGCAATTTTCACCACATTTAGCAGCCAAGATGAGACCTCCTCTTACGTCAGTGTTTGCTTTTTATTTATTTTTGTGTTACATCAAGTATTGCTGCTTCTTTTTTTCTTTATCTTTACTTTTTATAAAATAAATTATTCAAATTCCAGGCCTGTTATCCGTGGACGCCCGTCAGCTAAGAGAGCAATATATATTTGTGGTCGACCTCGTTGGGTTTTTGTCCTGATGTTCTCATTTGGTAATCGAATCATTCCAACAAGGACCCTCTTTTTTGTTATAACAATATTTTTGGCGGAGTAGTAATACTTTTCCTATGCTCTTTGTGCAGTAAGTTTCATCCTTTGGTTTGTCTCTGCTGGTCTTCTAACTGTGTTATGGTCGCTTGCAATTGGTCTTCTTGGTATATCACATTTTGAGACATTTTAATCCTTCTTGTTTACATTTATGTTTTCCTTTTCTTTTCTTTTCTTTCTTTTTGTTTTTCTTAAGTTGATTAACCTCTCTCTCTCTTCCCTCCTCACATTTTTCAGCCACCATCCTGCATGCAAGCTTTAGAACACCTAACTTGAAAGCACGTCTAAACACATTCCGTGAAGAGTTTCGTGCAGTGTGGCGCAATTATAGTGAGCTGTAGTTTACAGTGTGTTTACGGGGTATGTCAATGATTTCTGGTTTTATGTTTGCATGCAGTTATCTGCTTAGTGATCTTGGCTACGGATATGAATTATATGCAGTACAACTCAAGTGATTGAGAAGCAAACGAGTAGCTTGTAGGTTTTAAAATGGAGAAGTAGCGTACTATACTGCATTATGTTTAGTAATGTCTGGGATCTCAAATTATGGTGAAGTTTTTTTGGTACGTTGATCTATTTTATCCAAAACCTAGGTTTAACTAACATAAGGGTTATATTGGTTGGAAGGGCTTTAAGATTTTGGTCAGCTTGTGTTTTGCTTCTCCTTTCACTTCGTGGTCCATAATGTACTTGTGAGTATGCTGATGCATTTTTATCCGGGACTGACATGTGAATTGTGGTAAGTTACCGTTTGAATTATGATCCATGAGATGCATCCACCATTAAATTGGACTCAATGTGATGATATCTCTGATTATTCTTATCTTGTTTGTTTCTTGCACAGTTACTTGTGGGTTCTTTAGTTTATTATTATTATTATTATTATTATTATTATTATTATTTTTGTTACTTGTGCAATGTGCAGAAGCAGAATTAAAATGGAAATGAACTCTGGCCCCGACATAGAAAAATATTCTTTTAGATTTCCTATATTTTCTTTTATATTTTTCTATCACGATGTTGATTGCAATGTTGATGAAGCTTTTCTGGTATTGTTATTGTTTAGGAGTCGCCGCTTTTTCAGTTGAAGTAATTCCTGGTGACTGGAATGGGACTGTCTGGGGCAATATATCAACCATTGCTGGTTACAAACAGAATGTATATGGTCAGAGATCTTGTTCATGTAAATTACATTGTGCTGGACTTCTGGTTGTTCTATTGTTGACTCTATCGAGGGGATGCTTTTCAACCTTTTACGTGCTGTGCTCTTGAAATTCTCGCCAAATCGGGTCTTAAAGTTCATCAGTAGCTTTCAGAATCCTTACTTCGTGATGGATTTGTTTTATATGCTTTTGCCCTTTTCTCACTCTTACTAGCTGTAGGGTTAAGTAAAATTATCCATATGGTTGCCTGATTTTACTAATATTTGAAAAATTTCAAAATGAACTTATTTATGATTGTTAAGTTTATTGCGATGGAATTATGGTTGAACCAATGATAATTAAATATCTATTATTTAATTTTATCGATTTTTATCTGTTTGAATGGTTTTTATTTTTAATCAATTCAATCATGTTTGTTTTTGGTCTATCGTTTATGGATTTTGAAGATTAGGTGCGGCTCTTTCCAATTTGTACTTCTATGTGGCTGGTCATCAATCTTACAAACTTCTGTGTAAAAGTTATCTGTGTTGATAATTTAGACGTCGTTGTTAGGAAAAACGTGAAATTTGGCTCAAAGTGATTTCATTGTTGAAATTTTCTTAGCGTGGTTGGCTCTTTTTAGTCATTCATTTTCATTGATCATTGACTAGGATGTGATCATGTGGAGGTATTTTATCAAATTGTCTTGCATCACCCCCAATTTGTGTCCAATCTTTACACGAAACCGCTTGGAATGTCTCTGGACATTTTCCGTTGAAGTCGACATTATTTCTTAAATATTTCAATTTCAATAAAATTAGAATATAATTAAAATGCTTCTATATTAAAATAGTTGTTTCAGGTTTTTTGGAAATATAAATATGTTTGACGTGAATAAAAATTAAATATCAAATTAATTCTCACCTCTCCTCTTGACAATCAGCAATTTATTTATTTTTTATTATAAACTTTTCAATAGATATCTTGGTGGAATATTCTATAATGGGTTAAATGGCAATATAAATTTTATACTATAGATTTATGAGTGATTTGAACCCTGTATTTATATTTGATGCATTTTAAATTTTGAATAATTCAATCTGTAGCAATCTAGCCCTACAATTAATTATTCAGAGGGTCAAGGTGAGATTGTTCAAAATTTAATTATTGAAAATTTAAAATATATTAAATATGAGTTTATGATTTAAATTGTGTTTTGCCTTATAGTTTAGGATTTATATTGCCATTTAATCCTATATAATTGATGGATGAATGAAATGGTACACTGAATGCGAAAAATGCCCTGCAAACATCCAACCTTTCATTGATGTGATATTTACATGCTTGTTTATTTCTTTGTTTACTTTTCCCCCCCTACTTAATGAGCCATTCAAATTTTCTTTTATGTGAAAAAAAATTTAGATTGTAAATTATCTCGGTTTCCCTGTTCAATGACAATTGGACCAAGCCAACATAGCAATATTAACATACGAACATATCTCATGTGTACCGCAATCTTAACTGTAAAAAAGTTTTTTTGTAAAAGAAGATTGATTGGCGTATATTTTACAGATAAGAAGTTGAGCCTCGCAAGAAACTCATGAGTTGGCTTATAGTTAATTTTAAAGACACATTCTCTCCCAAAATCAATATAACCATTACCATTGTGAAATATAAATCTATCGGTTAAGAGACATCTATATTTGAATATATACATGTGTGTGTGTGTGAAAGAGAAAATAAATATGATTATAGAATGTAAATCTCATATACAGTCATATTTTTGAACATCACTTTTAATAAAGGAATAATGCATCTTAGGTGAGACTCCGAGCAATATCAGATAAGTAAGTGTATTTTTAAACATAATCAAGCATTCAAGCTAGGCGATCAAACTAATAAAGACCTTTTGCTCAGTGTCGCAACAGGCTGTGCATTTGCCCCTCTTTTTTAGTTTTTTTTTTTTAATCTGAATATTTGCCCCTCTATTAAGTAAAGCCGTCAATCACATGCCCGCTCCTTTTAAGCTAGAAAAAATCTTAGGTTGGTATATTACTTCAAAGTGTAAAACAACAATTTAAGTTTAAAAGAAACCCTTTTAAATTCTAAAATAAAAGAGCTAGCCTAAGCCCTTTTATAATTTTAAAAAAATTTTAACATTAAAAAACTTAGTACTATACTAATTCTAGAACCTTAGCCTCATTTCACAAGTATAAGAAGAAATATATAAAAAGCTTAATATTTTTGCTATTGATGAGGCTCAATAAGAAAAATGATTAAATTATATTGATGTTGATGATAATAAAAAAAATTAAGATTTAGCTAATGATACTAGCAAAGTCTAATTATTATCGATATTATTAGATTTAAATTTCTTTTTGTGTATATTGACTTAAATTTATTTTTTAAACTCAATGTTGTGTAATAATTTTTTTAAAATTTTAAATATATTTTTTAAAAATTTTAAATTAAAAAATGAAAAAATAGGCCCGAAATCCTAAATGCCAACCCTTCACTCCTAAAGGCCAGGGTTGAGTCGATTAAAATAGAGCCTTAGGATATAATTTTACTTAACAGGATTAGTACATTTAGGTCTTGACCCTTCAATGCTTTAAAAAATTATTAATTATTTTTATAAGTATAAATCTTTTAAGGTTGACTAAATGAACTCTCGAAAATTTGTTCAAAATAATTTTGTTTTAGTCTTTTATAAAAACTTTTATGTTGATTTACAACATATTTAAGATTTAAAATTACATAAATTATTCTATTCTAAGATATAATTGATTAATTTCTATTTATTATGAAAATATATACAAATTCGTTTGTACCATAGTTTATTTGAAAAATATATTTATATAATTTAATTTCAATACTCTCCTTTGCCCTAAATATAAGACCTAGTTAAGAGATTTATTTTAGTCCTAAATATAGGATCACAGTTGCTTATCAATATATATATATATATATATATATAGGATCTCAATTTTCTTTATCTCCATCATTTAATGCCGTTTCTCCAAATTGCCGTAGGTGCTTTAGGAAAAATGACACCTTTTTTACGCAATAATAGATAGTAGATAACCAACTTAATAATTTTTTAATGGAAAAACATATCATTAAGTTTCTACATTTTATTTATATTTTTCTGTTAATCTCTACACTTTTCTGTTAATATTTTAGGTCTCTGTATTTTTTTTATTATTTTATATCCTTTTATAAATAAATTGTAAGGACCTTGGAGGGAACTAATACAATAAAAATAAAAGTATTAAAAATGTTGAAATGTCATCTCGGTCTCACGAAAAAGAATTGAATTGCTTGATATTAAAAAACAAAAAATTGAAGTGAGGTTTGGCTCTAAAATGGAAAGAAAAGATGATGATTGCCGTGAGAGTTGGGGTGGCTATTGTTAGCCTAATAATTTTATATCACAGGCCTTGTCCCGTGTCATGTGCAGCTCCCAATTGTGTATTATATTTCTCCCTCTTCTTTCGATACCATGTTTCTGTATAAAGTTATACAACCTTATCAATCTAGGTTGGTGACTTGGTGTAAATAGCATGCTTTTGCTGGCAAAGAAAAAAAATTAGCATGCTTTTGTTTCTTTGATCATATCATTAGAAAAGCAAATAAATGTATTAAATAGCTGCTTCAACAAGCAGCTAATATTAAAAAAAAAAACATAGTTTAGATGTTAAGATTTTTGTTGACTCATTTTTAGGGTATAAAAGACCTATAAATTCTGCTTGAATGTTATTTCTTGCACAATATTCCATGATTATATATTGAAAAAACATGCTTTTATTCCTTAATCAAATAATTGGGAGCTTTTTTTTTTTTGGCCTGATAATAATTGGGAGTTTGATCCTAATTTTTACATGTAGAGCACATCTAGTCAAAAAGGTCTACCTTTGCCCTTCATACTTCAAAAGATGTTAGTCTCATTTGTCAATAGAATATACTCTGGCTTCCAAAAAAAAAATTATATATCTTTTTTTGTTTTTACATTCTAGACATTTTTTATGAAAATAAAAAATAAGTTACACAAATTATTTGTTTTATTAAAATTATGCAAATTTCATTTCCAATTCTAAAAATCAAATTTTTTGGAAAGCAAAGAGTAGATTACTTATTATTTCTTGATTTTTATTTACAGAGATCTCTTTTTAGTATTAGAAATGCTTGTGTATATATATTTTGGAAACAAAAATATATAATAAAATTATTGTATTTCATCTATTTATTTATTTAAGTAGATCTATCCAGGTTTCATCAAGCATAGAAATGATCAAAACATAAACGGGTGCAAAACGTGTATGCATCAAATTGTGCAAGGCATTAACTTCAAGATTGGGTTTTTGGCCAACGAACTTAACGATTAATTGGTTTAAAATAGAGTTGATTAAGGTGGGAAAAATACTTGTTATATCATATACATGTATAAATTCAGAATATCAAAAGCGTGGAAACAGATGATATCAACGTGTGAACACAGCACCAGAGAAGAAGAAGAAGAAGAAAAGATGGGATATTTATGAAGGAAGAAGACGAGGCTGAGGAAAAACTTGTGACAATATCTGAATGAAATGGACGATCAGTACTTGAGGTGGGCACAGGCTTTGGCTTCTGCATGGGGTTTCATGTTGTTGGTGGGTCTCGTGTGTTGTTGTCTCAGCACTAAGCCCCGCCACGACGGCGGCGATTCCCTCTCCGGCAACGGTGGCTGCACCTGCGATGGCGGCGGCAATACCTGTGTTTGAAGCTAGCTTCTTCTGAGTTTGCTGTATATAAGATTTGAATTTTGCAGATTGGTTTGTCCTTTCATTCATTTTTATGGATGATTAGTTATACCAAACAAGATTTAGCTAGCATTCATCAAAATCTTGGTTGTTATGTAGTCCACAGTCGATTTGCAGAGATGCACACACACACACACATACATATGTACATAAGTTTTGATTGTCAACGGTGAAGTTGCTCTTTTGGTTATTCTTTTCTTCATCGATTTCCGTCAGATTAATCCGCGAGAAGAAGCTGGAAATAGATTAAGCGAACCCTTGATCTCTCCTTCCCTTATTAATTAATTGATGTATTACGTATATATCCTTCATTAACGCTAAGTTAAGATAAGAAATTTGTGAAATACTTGAGTTTGAATGAAACAAAGTTATGAATTTCCAAACTCTCTCTCCCCCTCTCTCATTCACACACACACACGCACGCACACACACGAGGACACGGGCCATAATTTGGTAGGTAGAGAGTTAGAATAGTTTTCACAACAGCAACACAACTGTTTTCACCGAAAAGAACGAATGATTGTAGGGTAGCTTGACCCCCTCTTCCTCTCAACTCTCAAGTCTCAACAACTCACATTCTCTTCTTTCTTAACAGTAATTCACACGCACAAAGTAATTTTCAATTGTTGGGTTTTGTAAGTCCGGGGATCTAGTTTCTTGCCCAAACTTAAGCTCACATGGTCGAAAGGGGCTCACCAAGATATTAATTATGAAGATGTTTGGGTCTTTGACTGTAATATTCTCATTTTTGTGTGTGGGAATAGTTTTTAAGAGATGGATGTTCGAAAATTATGTGGGTGAAAGTTATAGAGTATTGAAGGCTGTTGTTAAATCCAAACTATTAATTCTATAAGGTTACACTTGGTGAATAATTCATTCTTTTCTCCTTTTCCTGTCAATGGTGTATTTACTGTAAATCAGAGGCAAAATTTGAGTAACTTAGTCATTCACATGGAGGCATTATCTGGTGCAGTAACAGGCATGCCTTTTACATCAATAATTGCCAATTTTTTTATCAAAACAGAGTGCTAAATACCTTTCACCAAGCTTAATTGCAATAATTAATATATGTATTTTGAAATGTAAAAACACTTTTTGAAACTTCAGGTGACAATAAAAAATTTAATGATTGATAAATAGGAACTGCAAAATGCTACTATAAATTTTCAGGATTAAACAATTTTGCAGTGAGTTCAAATTTTTTAATCTAGATTTATTATTTTCATGCAAATCCAAAATTTAATAAAAAAATAATCATATCCTATTTCATATATTTATTTAAAATTGAGTTTTTTTTTATTGTATATATGTATCATTCTATTAAAAACAATCTTACTAATTTGTACATTTTTTCCCGCAGGGATTCAAACTTCTCTCTCTCTCTCTCTCTCTCTGTGTGGGTAAAAGTGATGATACTTAACTTAAAAATGTTGTCATTTATGACTCAATCTAGATGGTCCAACAGCTCCTGTCCTGGCATGACTAGCTTTCTCCAAGGCAAAGGAGAGAGGGTATTGAAATGGCAATCATATAAGTGATTGGTGACCAATGAATTGCTCTGCATCAGCAACATAGAGACCTTCCCACTATGATCTGTAACCAGCACATTTCTGATATACAATCTCATCCTTAAAGACTGAACAGATCAATATTTGAACCTGAGGTGGATTATTTGCTAATTCTGAAGAATTAAGCAACCAAGGTCTTAATCCTAGAGGAGAGCCAAGCCATATTGCTCTTACCCATTGACTCTCCAAAAATAAATGGTGTATGGATTCCTCATTATGTTCATAGAACTCACAATTCCTCATTATCAGATGGTGGTCCCCCAGGCATCTTCTTTGCAGGAAGGGAATGGACGGGGAGTTTTAGAGCTGTGGATGGTTATAACATGCTGGTTTTATAAATTTGAGTATACTTTTCTTCAAAAAAGAGTTGGTCACGCATTTTTGGCCCAAGAGTTATGCTGCTACCAAACTTGGCCCAAGAGTTAAGGGAAGAGTGTTATGCGACAATTGGAATAAATTGGATCTAGTCAAAGGAATTAGGCCCCTATAACATGGTGTGAGATGCTCATATTTAGTATTTAACAATGCTTTGAATATGATTGGCTCTAATAAAAAAATGTTTGAATATAATAAAAATATAAGAAAAGTGTGCGTGCATGCCGAGTGAGAGATTCTCTTACTAAACATGTCTCTTGATGTTTTTTGAAAAAGATCACCAATTACATGATTCAACTTGTAGGGAGCTGCGCCAATTTAATGAAGAGTTTTGAATTTGAATTTTGAAAATACCAGCTATGTTAATTATTTTATTGAAGAGCTTGTTCTTTGTGATCCTACTTGTCTGAATCCTGATAAGTCATCTACTTGCAACGAAGTAGGCCAAAATATCTTGAAAAAATAGTTGGCTCCAAAAAATTTTTTTGTTACTGATGGCTGAATGAGTCTCAACCTCCAAGCCAACCTTTGCAGGGAGTGTTAACTTGGTGCTTCATGCTCTTTTTATTTTATCTTTTAGTAAAGTTTTCTTTTGGATAAATTACCAAATACCATGTAAGAAGTTGAATGACAAATTTATTCTGAAATTATTAGTTCTATAATACCTGATATCTTAAATTCATTTTTAATATTATATTCCTCTATAACAAATATTAATCTTGATCTTTAATTGATTAAAAATCATAGAGAAGAATCTAAAAAATTACAAAAAAATGATTAAAAATTATAAATTTAATTAATATTAATTTTTTTATAAAATCTTGCAATTTTCTTAAATCTTTCTACTCCTTCTGTTAAAAAATGTAAAGAATTTTTTAAAAAATTAAATATTAAAAATGTAAAATAATTTTAATCGTTCGAACTGTAATCATTGCCAAAAAAATACTTCTATTAATAGATGACTTTATATTTATTATAAAGTATTTAATAGAGATAAATATAAAAAGATAAAATTAGTTAAAAAATAATTGACTATTTTATTAAAAAATAAAATTTAATTAAAAATATCTTACATTTTTTAACGCAAGGAGTATATAATTTTAAATTTTTTTGTGACTTTTTTATAACTTAACTATCAAAATTAACATTTATTAATGATAAATGAAACATTCCACCATTTTAAAATGTTTAGAAAACATTGCATAGAAAAAGATTTTAAAATCACAAGCACTCCTAAATATAGTTTAAAGACAAATTTACTTTAACCTTAATATAATTTTAACAGATTTTATCCAGCTAAAATTAATATTGTCATTCTTGTAAATAATATACCAATCGGGACAGCTTTCAATTTTAAAAAATTAAAATAATTTTTAATTTTCAGAGCCCTTAAACCTCGCTTCATTTCCAAAATCACCTTTACAAATTAACAAAAAATGAAAAAATAAAATATAACCATCAAATTTTACAAGTGTTGTTATCCATAAATCTGCTTAGCATCATGTCATGGGGAGCAAAATCTTGAATTCTTAGGTCCTGAAATAATCTGACTTGATGCTCAAGAAAGCGATGCGACGTGGGGATGAAAAAAAGGGGGGGGGGGGAGCAGATTTAGCAAGCGCTACAATTAAACACTTACCTGGTCCCTGTTAAATATCAGCTTCGGACATGGGAAGCTTTGCCCCTGACTTGGGGGAAATTAGGAATGGAGAAACATACGTGAGGCTAACATTATTTGGAACCATCTAAAGCAACTCAATGCCTCCCCAAAACAGTTGTTCAAAATCCCTAATCTACTCCAGCACTTTTTATCATAACAAGAGAACAACGGTTATGAATAAGTCCTGAACACCCGAGGGCTCTTACCACTCATAAATAAAATAACCTGTAATAAAAAAATATTCTTCTAAATCATGTCTCAATAAATTTCCTCAGGTTCTTCAGCCACATTGAGTATTCTTTGCTGTCTTTGTTGACCATATATTCATGCAAAAAGTTCGTTGTGCTGGGCTTGATCCCTCGTATCTCAAGATACTTGTGGAAAGCCTTTTGCAAATTTTCATCCAAATCACTGTAGACAAAAGAGTAAGCAAGTCTTCAGCAACAAGAAAATGACATTATAAAAAGATTTAGATAATGTCATATATAAAGGGGTGCTTACTGGAACTCAGGTCCCTCATATGCAAGCTGGTCTTCTGATTCTTCTGACTGTTTTATGGACAAACTATCGATGGAAATCTCATCAGGAAATGCAGTAATACCAAACTCCAGAGTGACCCCGCTTCTTTTGGAAATATTAACAACTAAAGGAATGCTAGATTCATCACGATTCTCCTCCTGATCACCACCCTCATCCTCATCCTCATCTTCCTCAGCTGCTACGTTAGGGACGTCAACTTGCACTGTGATGGTTTCATCCTCATATTGCCTCTTAAGGAATACGGTTCTCTCACCAGGATTGTCTTCGATTGAAAATGGAAAATCATTTGGCACGTCCTCCATCTTAATAAATGTTTGCACAAAAGAAAAGGAAACAAAATCAATAGGTAAGCTAACATCATCAAAGATCACATTAAAATAAATTCTATGGAACAGCAATCCAATAGCACTCCCACAATAGCTGCATCTGGTATTCCTTCCATAAAGAAACATTTGCCCTCTTTTCTTTGTAAAGGGGAAAAAGCAGAGCTAGGGTAATCCGTACGTAATTAAAATTTGCTGGTAGGTTATATATTAGCACAAGGGGTTGACCATTAAAGCGGCTATTGCCCATTATAACCCATAAAATTACATTTTTTCTCAGATTGATCCAATATACCAATACAAAACTAGTGAATAATTAAATAGTCGTTATATCACCAGCAAGCTGCACCACAAAACATTGTTGAGATATTTGCAGCAACTCCTAAAAGCACTTCATTAGACACAATCGCATCACTAAACTTTTCTGGAAGCATATCTTAAAACGCCGACTGTAGAAGAATATTTTCAAAATAAAGACTGCAGGAAAAGAGGAACAGTACCAAAGTGATCAATAGAGTTAAGTCATTCTTTGGTCAACTTGCGATAGAGAGGATCTCAGACTTACATATTCCAGAAATAAAAGAAAAATGGGCTTGCACATAACTTCCTAAATAGTCAGTTTTTTCTTACCAGCTCCAAAAAAGAAACCAGAAATTTCCGCAAAACATAGAATATTTAAATTATGAGCACGCTTGCTGTAGAGTAGTATACTGATTAGGAACTGACTGAAAAATAGACTTGATTATATAAAAATATAAGATATGCATCCGTTACTTACTTCATGATCCTCCTCCTCGGCACATTGAATCTCCGTATCAAGGACTCGAAGCAGATTTTCATCAGCACTCGTCTTTGTAGCAAATGAATTAGCCAGGCGCACAGAGGGGAGAAGGATTCTTTCAATGAGACGATGAGTAAGTCCAGACGCACGAACAGCAGAGGCAGCGCAGTGGAAGGTTCTAGGAGATGCCATGGCGCGAAATGCTAGGGGCAATACTGATGAGGATACGCGACGGAGCACGGAGTTCATAGCCATTTCTAAGTTGAAGGGGGCTTTTGTGGAGGAGAGGAAAGGCGCGAGGGTTTTAGTGCGACTGAGTTAGGGTTTTAGGCCGTCCCTGTTTATAGTATCAATTCCTCACGTGACACGCACGTGAACGGCACGTTTGTGTTCGTTTGCCGTGATCACTGATCAGCATTCAGCAGTTTAGGGCGGACGTGGGAGGGTCATGGGTGGGGAGAACAATTTCCTCGGATTTTATTTGTAAATTATTATTAACGTGTTTTATTGAAATTATAAAAAATTTAAAAACCCATTAACTCTTCTTAAAAAGTTTAGGATAAATTAGCCAACTAGTTGAAGAAAATTTTGTACCCAAAAAATATAGACTAAATTTTTAAAAATTTGAGAGTATAATCAATTCATAATGATATACGAGAAATTTATGATTGATATATAAAGAGTTTATCATTAAAAATTTGTAAAGATTTAATAGTATATCATTAATAAATATAATAAATTGGTTATAATATAATATATAATAAATGTTGGATTGTTTATTTAATTTGATCATCTAACATGAGTTATATCTACAAAAGCCCCAAAAATTTAGTGAATGTATATATTTCAATATTGTATTTTATGTCACTAATTTTCTATGAGAATAAGAGAAAATTTATAATAAAAAATAATTATATATGTTATAAATAGGATAAAAAATTTATTTTTTCTATTTTATACATAAAAATGGTATTAACTGAGAAGGAGTCATCAATGGAGCAGCCACTACATGTTCCCTTACTCAGTTCCTCTACTAAATTCTCTGAAAAAATCCTGAAAGTATGATGAATAGATTGATGTTTTCCAAGTTGCATCCTTCCTACATTTCGTTGGTTTGTTAACCCAGATCACTCCCAAGTCCCACCTCACTGACTGTCATTAAAGTATGAAAAATTACACCTTTCCCTACTACCGATTGATGGTTTCTGATACATATCACTGTAGCCCAATTACAATAGAAGCGAAGACGTCCTCTATTTTCCTCCTCTTCCTCACAGAACAAACAGGTAGGATCCACATTTAAATGATGCTTTCTTAAATGATCCTTTGCAGGTAATCCAGAAGTTTCCAAAGAAAAAGACAGACTCTAGGAAGTAGGGATAATTGATTTATCTTCTTCCAAGTGCCATCTGGAATTTGGCATACATGGAAAATGGAGTAGCTAAAATTGATTTTGCCGATTCCTCCCTACAAAGTGTCCTGACTAATCTAGAATTCCAAGAACCAGATTGGTGCACCATAAGATCACCAACTGAATTGAGTGTCAGTGATTGATCCACCCGCACGGCACTTGGCACCATAAGCGGCTAAATATATTAATACCACTGCCATCGCAAATTCTCTGTTGGGACTTCTCTATAATCAAATCCTTTGCCCATATCATATCCTCCAACGTGGGAGATGGAACTGCTTTTTTTCATACTTGTACCATCTACCAAAACAGAAAAGCACTTCGGCCTTAATACCGACAACCAATTAAATGCCATTATATAACTGCGATTTATTTTTTTCTCAAATCAACATAAATGCCCAAATACTTCCCCATAGAGCCATCAAACTTGACTACCATCAACTGAGATAAGGAAAAAAAAAAAACTTATTTTGATAAAAAGCAGTTTAAAAATATGTTTCCTGTTATATGTCATCCGTTAAAAAAATTTGAAGGAAAAACATACCTTTTAATCCCTGCTCGTGTTTTGGTATGAATTTCTATATTTTTTTTATTAATATTTTAGATTTTTACACTTTTATTTTTTAGTGTTTGATGTTCATTCAAAATCCCTACACTTTCTTCATTTTGTTCATTTAGGAACTAGAATAATGAAAAATAAAAGTGTAAGAGCCCAAAACATCAAAAAAAAAATGTAAGAACCTATAACAAAATACGAACAAAATGCAAAGACCAAAAGGTATATTTTTCCAAAATTAAAAGTTATTATGAAAAATTACAAAATTCAGAAATTTTTTTATTTATGTTTTATTATTTTTTTATTTTGCAAAGCTAGAAAAATTATAAAAAAAATCATGTTTTCATTAAAGACAATTATATTAATAAACTAAATAATCATTTCATCCTTTAGTTCACCATTTTAGATATATTTTTCAAAATAATGATTCAAACACTTTTTTTCATTTTTTTTTATTTTCAAAACTTGATATAAAAAATTACTCTATAAAATTGTTTTAAAAACATAAAACAGAGAACAGAATCAAACAATCCAATTTTTCATGTTTTCTTTGACTTTGATGTTCTGAATTTCATAACACTTCAAGTCATACTAGAAAACTCAAAAATTGATACTTGTAGTGATTGAAAGAGCAACCACATTTGTCATCCAGTAATTCATAAAAAGATAAACTATTGCTCCATCAAACATATGTAAGCCCATATTTTGCTGACAAACTGAACAGAGTCAACATATTTCCCCATTCCTTGCGCCCCTACAAACTTAAAAGGCTAAAAGACACTTCTCTTATTCCTTCGACTTCTCCAATTGGCCACCCAGTCTACCGCTCAGATTTCACCATCCCACAATTCCTCAAGAGATCTGTAGATTCCATGAGTTTCATGGACAAATGTAGTACCCCTGATTAATCTCGCCTGCAACAGAAGAACCACTGTAATAATCACGACTTTCTATTCTATACCTATCATCACATGACTTGTAACCTGTTCATGTCTTCATGTCATGAAATATGAGAAAGAGTGAAGGTAAACATAAAAAAGTGACCTGCTGAATCTCGGAAAATTTTGTGAATAAGTCATCAGGTATAGACCAGTCAAAAATGTCAAAGTTCTCTTTTATCCTTGCTTCATTTGTACTCTTGGGAAGCACGCTGTGACCCATTTGCAGTCCCCAGCGAAGAGCTACTTGTGCAGGAGTCTTGCCTAATTTATCAGCAATCAAATTCAGGACCGGATGCTTCAGAACATCACTTTGAAGCCAGGTTGTCCCAGGAGAACCTAATGGTGAATATCCCTAGTCACATGCAACTTGAAACTCAGTTTAAGGAGTGCATATAGTTTTTAAGGCCAAGTTGCCAACTTTCGAAAGTCTAACAAAATTAAATAACAGCCACTCTTCAGGCAGATTTATAGAAGGTAATTCAAAATTTGTGAACTTACAGAGAGGTGCACACCCTTGGACTTGCAGAATGCCAGCAACTTGTCCTGCTGCCATGAAGGATGACACTCTACCTGGTTGACAGCAGGAGGTATGCGTGCTACCTCCAGCAAGTCCCCCAGCTTCTTGGATGAGAAATTGCTTACACCTATAGCGCGAGCCTTGCCAGAGTCGTAGAGTTCTTCCATTGCCTTCCATGTGCTAGGTATATTGGGAGACTCAAGATTTTCAGGTTTAAAGCCCACAGATCCCTTCTTCATTGGAACCGGCCAATGGATCTTAAAAGGAAAAATTTCAATTTATGATTGATTATATCACCAATAAGCAATCTATATTACTTAAAGAATTGAATAAAGTATGCTACATGCATCTCTGAAGATCTCACAAAATAATCAAGTTTGACAAAAAAATGCTGCATAAAAACTAGATTTTGCAATGTTTTGTAGTAGCTTGATTTTAAAAAGGAAACAAAAACTATTTTATGCATACCGCATTTTTTGAAACATTGTGTAATCTATGTAACAGCTGTTGTTACAGAAGATAAGTTCGTTAGCAAATTTTGGAACAACATTAAATGTAAACAAAATAATCACACATGTAACCTAGAGAAAGATAGATACTCTGATTTAAGTGATACTACATACAAGGTATAAATCCACATAATCAAGCTGCAAGTCTCTCAAAGTTCTGTCCAATGCTTTCGGAACATCTTCTGGAGCATGATCAGTATTCCTGCAGATCACCATAAATTCAGCCATAGGCAATCCTTACAGACAAGGTGAATTCTCACAATTGCATGATTCTACTTGCGTCACTTCAGTTTAAATGGTAAAACCAAATGAAATTAAATAAAGAACTAGAACAAACCAGAGTTTAGAGGTAATCCACAAATCCTCTCGCTTCACTACACCATCCTCAAACAGCTTTTTCAGTACTGAACCAATCTGCAGTGACAAGATTGAATCATTTGCAGTTTTAAGATGTCAAACAATATCTTTGGTGTAGAGTTTATGCTGCCTTTGATGGCTAAAGTCAATAGATAGATGTCTGACTTAATCAGTATGTTGAATTTCATGACCATGAAAGACCATGAGTCACTGAAAATAATTCAGTTACCTAGAGCTCCTGCTCAATTGGAATGGGATGAGTGATTAAATCATGACACCAACGTTTACAAAAATATGGCTTTAAATCAATTATTATAATTACCTCCTTTTCGTTGTCATAAATCTGAGCACAATCAATATGTCGGTAACCAACCTGTAATTTCCAAACAGTCATTTAGTTAAGCGCAAAACACCAATGTATGTTCAAACAAAGAAGCAAAAGAGGATTACGTATACAGTCACTCAGTCATCCTTTTCTTTCATTTTTTTGATCACATTCATCTCATGCAATCCCCCTCCCCCAAAAACAAGGGAAAAAAAGTATATACAATGTGTTGTTCTGTCATTAAAAAAATTAAAACATAAATAGACGCCATCAACCAGCTTTATCCTTGGGCAAGGGAAATAAATAACATATCTATCCGCACTTCTTCAATCCAATCCTTTTTTCTACACATTCTTCAGTCTTAAAATTTTTGACGCATTGAGACATCCTCATTGCAAGTTTTTTAGGGTAGAAATGAGGAAAATTACATGAACATATATACTTTATTAATTTCGCACGCAAATATTTGACTTCCCCTAATTCACATTGTCCACACGCTTTGCAACAAAACTAATATAATAGGACAACCCACCCTTCGCCCTACACACGTTGCCATGTTTATCACCCACTCTACTCTACATATCCTCTACCTCTTTCTCTTCCACTTGTTGCTCTCTTATTTTCCAGACTCCACACACTTCAAATTGGTCGTTTCCTTACTCCAATTAAGCATCGCAATGTTCTGAATTCAATCCTTTACCGCTGCCATATGACAGCTTCAGGATGAGTTTAGAAAGAAACTAGCGGTAAGCCCCTCCATTTCCTTTGGTAAGTGAACCAAGATTTTCTCCAGAGACAGAGTGATGACTTTCAACCTGAACCTTAAATCTTCATTCAAATTCCTACCTCAAATTAAATTACTATCAACAAACAATTCGAAGAACCATCCGAATAAAATATACCGTTACACAGTTTAATTCCCTATCGGTTGAAGTAAACATAAATGACCAGACTCTGACATCTCAAACTGCAAGCTTTCAATCATCCGAAAGCTGAAAGAAATCACAAAGGAAAAGTGCAAGTTCGAGAGCGCAAAGCATGAAAAAGTGAAAATGGACCTTGATGGCGGCAGCAACGGCGTCGCCAACGAGACCGGGAGAAGACTGCCATGTTCCCAAGCCAACTGAAGGGATCAGAGCTCCAGTGTTCAATGGGAAGAATCGAATCGAGTTGGTCGCCATTGTTATCTTTCTCTCCGAACAGAAGAATCAAAGCCGACGTAGAAACTATAAGTAGGGAGAACGGTTTCACGTTTCAGTGAGCGAAGGAAGCCAAAAGGAAGAGGAAAGAGCAGAGATGAGAAGGAATAAAAAATGCGTGCAGCGTGGCCATAAATAGCAAAAGCCACAGGTTTCGGGCTGCTCGTGGGGCGAGGGCGGGAGTTTTGTGATGCTTTCCCTGTCTTACTGCCACGTGCACTCCGTCCCCTTCCTTTCTTCCTAAGCCGGCTCCCATCGATAGACACCTCGTTTTTCTTTTCGGGAAAATTTTATTTAAGTTAGGGCCCTACATGGAGATTGTTAGAATACAAGAGTTGGGTTCATCCAGAATTAAAGCCCAGTCCAGCTCTAATCATGCAAAGCCTAAAGAGAAGATTAAGGATAGGCCTAAAGTGCAGAAGACGAGTGTTTAACTTTTATTTTCTGTTATGAAACATGTGGACTTAGTATGTTATAGCCAATTATTGTTAGATTAACTGTATGAGTTGGCATTAGTTTACTCGGTGTAACATTTCTATATATATATATAGAATATATGAGCTTCTGAGTTTAATTAACTTAGATAAGCATTTTCTCCAAATTATCATTTTACTTCTGAATTTCACTTGATATCAGAATAGAAGATGATAGAGACCTCAACTTCTTCCAGGTCACCATTGATCAAAACCTCTAGTATAAGACCACCAATTGGTACAATTACTCTAATTGTTCCACAAGTTTCGACGACAACAACGAAGGTTACTCCACTTCTTAGCAGGCTGAATCAGGTTAGTATGATCAAGTTGAATTGCACAAACTATATTTTGTGGAGTTCACATGTCATTACTATGATTTGAGGACACTGTCTCGATCGATATTTGAGTCGAGCAAAGCAGTGCCCACAAGAATTTATCCTTGTGAATGATGAAGTTCAAATTAATCCAAATTATGAAGATTGGATAGCAACAAATCAATTACTTTACAAATGGCTTATTGGTTCTTTGCAAGTTGAAGTAAGTTCACATATGCTTCATTGTAAAACCTCATGTCAACTCTGGAATAGTTCACATATGCTTCTTGGTTCGATGTCGTTCTCTTTAACTCAAAGGAGAATTATCACGGGCTCAAAAAGGAAGCATGAGCATGGACAAGTACATTTATAAGATGAAATTGTTATTTGACAATTTGGCTCTTGCAAGGAGTCCTATCTCCATACCAGATCTGATTATGGCTACTCTCATAGGTCTCAATTTAAAGTATACTCTACTTGTTGTTCAACTTACTAACAAATAAAATTTGTCTTGGATCGAGATGCAATCTAGACTCTTGTCATATGAAGCACGCTTAAAGCATATTCATTGACCATTGGTGAAAAACTTGAGCAATGCTTTTGATAATTTTTCTATTCATACTGACGCCTTTGCTTCTTATGCTCCAAACATAGGATCTTTTCAAGGTCGTGGAAATCATTCTAGTAGAGGACGAGGACAATATGGTTGTCATAACAATAATAACAAGCATATGTGTCAAGTTTACACTAAATCAGGTCACACCACAATCAAATGCTGTGATTGCTTTTATCGATATGATAAAACTTATTATAAACTCGATTCAAGACAGTATGAACCTGTTGCATATTTTGCCTCACTTGAGATAGTAACTGATCCGGCCTGGTATTTTAATAGTGGCGCCATGCATCATGTTACTCATAACACTGTTCATGCGTCTACTTCTAGATTTGGCACTCTCAAGGTTAGAGGTAAACACAAGCTTCCTATCCATAGCTTCACTAGTGCTCAATTTTCTGCTCCTCATTGTGCTCCTTTGAAGTTGAATAACATACTTGTGGTTCCTAATATTCAAAAGAATCTTATGAGTGTTCATAAACCGGCTTTGGACAACAATGCATTAATTATGTGATACTTTTGGGTGTTGTGTTAAGGACAAAGCAAAGAATAGACTCATAGTAATCGAGACACCACATGAAGGTGGCTTGTATCGAACTAATTGGAAGTCTATATTTCTTTATGTTGATTCTTCGTCTGCAACCTCTGCTCAGGCTTACAATGTTGCTTTAAGTACTGCACTTCAATCTTGGCATCAAAGATTGGGTTATTGTTCTACTACCACATTAAAAGATGTGTTAACTTATTGTCATATTGTTTCAAAGATTAATGAAAAAGTTGAATTTTTCTCTGCCTGTCAATATAGCAAGTCTCATGTACCCCCATTTTTTAATTTTGACTCTCATGCTAGCACCACTTATCTTAATTCACTTTGATCTTTGGGATCCAAAACCAATTATTTCTACTCGCAGCTTTTGCTACTATATTAGTTTCATTGATGATTATAGTAGGTATACGTGATTATATCCACTAAAGGCCAAGAGTGGTGTACTATCAGCCTTTATTCATTTTAAGAAAATGGTTAAGAATCAATGTGATAGAAAAAAAATTTTTTTTGATGTGATAATGGTGTAACATCCTGGAAAAATTAACTTAAGGTTAATTGAGTTATTAAAGATAAATTAGACAATTAAGAGCTAACTTGGATTAAAAGATATTGTACAGATGGCTAATAGGTCTATCGAACCTTAATTAGTGCTTAGAATTGGACTCTAGATGGTATTAGGCCACATTTAGGCCTACTTAGATGGACTATGTTCATAACATTAATTTTTGGTCTTTGGCCGCAGCCAAAATTTAATTTTTTTAAGATTCCAAATTTACATTTTAACTCAAAAAATTAGAGAGTTAAGTGGTAGTCCAAAGGTGAACGAGAAGAGTTCTACTAGGATTTGTTGGAGGCATCTAATTGAGTCTATTTATAGCTTCTAATCAATTGGGTAAGTGCCTATAACCTCTTATCTTCCTCTCTTGTGCATTTTCATTATTGTTTTTGGAAAGTTCTTTGGGAATCTAAAAATAAGTTGTGATTTTGCCTAAAATTCTGACTTCAATGGGATTAATGGTTGTTTATTTAAGTGTCTAACCTTTGGGTTATGGTGCTAATAAAATTTTAGAATTTTAAAGTGAGGTTTGAAGTAAACTCTTAAGCTAATTAGTTGAGCTAAGAAAATTAAGAGTTAGTAATGGTATTGATTAGTCTAATGGGAGTCTAAGTGAACTAATGAAACCTAAGACTGGATTTGGTTATGAATATATGACCACAATGGAATTTTTAGGTTTAGGCTTTAATCAGAGTTAATTAAGAATAATTAGTCATTTATGATTATTGATGTGTTTGATTGTAGATTGATCATTGTTAGTGCTATAGCCCAATCCAACTCTAATCATGCAAAGCCTAAAGAGAAGATCAAGGATAGGCCTAAAGTGCAGAAGACAAGTTTAACTTTTATTTTATGTTATGAACATGTGGACTTAGTTAGTCTGTTATAGCCAATTATTGTTAGATTAACTGTATGAGTTGGCATTAGTTTACTCAGTGTAACATTTCTATATATATAGAAGATATGAGCTTCTGAGTTAAATTAACTCAGATAAGCATTTTCTCCAAATTGTCGTGTTAACTCTTAATTTCATTGAGATCCCGTCTTGATAAGCCTGTCTCTACCTCCTATTTTTATATATGATAGGGTCGTTTACATAGGCAAAGTTTGACATTAATATCAATGTGGGATGGCTCCCAATAATCCTTCCCTCTTTTTGGAAGTACAAGGCCAAAAAAATCGTGTAAAGAGAAACAATCAGGTCATGGAGAATTCAATGGAGTCATGTAAGAATCCACAAGATTTCTGCACCCTAATGAAGGATGGCTAAAAATCATAATATTTAAATTATTGTAAAATGCTTGATTAGTAAGCAGATTGTCACCTTTATTTGTTTATCCAAACACAAGGTCGAAAGTAAATTTTCCCCCTTTTGTTTGTTGTGAAGTGATGATAAAGTGTTAACTAATATAAGTGCTTACACTTCTGCCCCAAAAGAAAAAAAAAGTTCGGGGAAAATGAGAAAAATTGTGTTCTCTTTCGAACAGAAGCCATGAAATTAATTTGAAAAAAGGGGAAAATGACCGGAAATAAAGTATAAACAAAGGTGATGTCGTGAAAAAGAAAGAATACGGGGAAAGAAGCATGAGAAAAATATGAAAGGCAAAACAGAGAAGCAAAATCTTGCACCATTCGCCATTACTAGCAACTAAGCTACCATTTTCCTTTTTCATCTGACAGCATAGAATATATTGATTGACTAGCATGTTTCATCTCCTGGAAGGATTGAATTGCTCTAATGAGCAAATTGGAGAAACAACATTGCTCAAATTGAAAAAGAGAACACATCAGTCATCCACTAATCCATAAAAGTATTGATATCCAGGTGATAATAGCGATTTCAGGACAGGCTTTTGCTGACTAATCGAAAATAGTAAACAAATCCCACTATCCTTGCATCCCTACAACCAAAAGACAAATGGCCCCCACCTATTCCTTCTGCTTCTTTTATTGGCCACTCAGCTGACTGCTCAGATTTCACCATCCCAGAGTTCCTCAATGGATCTGTAGGATCCATAAGTTTCATGGACAAAAAAGGTACCCCTGATTAATCTTGCCTGCAACAGCATAAACAACTGTCATAATCATCAACACATTCTATGCCATACTTATTGTCTTGGCCATTCATGAAAGATTCAAGTTTAATGAAATCTATAAGGGTACAGTGCTACATATTTCCTCATCACTTTTACATGACCACATAACCACTTGGAAAGATCACACATGCCTTGGTATTTTAATTTTCTCTTGACTCTAAACTATTCATGCAAATTTCAAATACCGAAATTTTAATGCTTCCACAGGCGTGATAAGGAAATAAATCTTCATCTTACTCTACATTTTTACTGCTTGACACGGCTAAACACAGCACAATCATTAGATATCCATGTTTTCATGTCATGAAATATCAGAAAGACAGAAGGTAAGCATAAAAAATTGACCTGCTGAATCTCAGAAAATTTCACGAATAAGTCATCAGGTATAGACCAGTCAAAAATGTCAAAGTTCTCTTTTATCCTTGCTTCATTTGTACTCTTGGGAAGCACGCTGTGACCCATTTGAAGCCCCCAGCGAAGAGCTACTTGTGCAGGAGTCTTGCCTAATTTATCAGCAATCATATTCAGGACCGGATGCTTCAGAACATCACTTTGAAGCCAGGTTGTCCCAGGAGAACCTAATGGTGAATATCCCTAGCCATATGCAACTTGAAACTCAGTCCAAGGAAGAAAAATAGTTTAAGGCCAATTTGCCAACTGCCCAAAATCTAACATAGTTAAATAACAGACACTTTTCAGGCAGATTTATAAAAGTTCATTCAAAATTTGTGAACTTACAGAGAGGTGGACACCTTTGGACTTGCAGAAAGCCCGTAACTTGTCCTGCTGCCATGAAGGATGGCACTCTACCTGGTTGACAGCAGGAGATATGCGTGCTACCTCCAGCAAGTCTCTCAGCTTCTTGGATGAGAAATTGCTTACACCTATGGCTCGAGCCTTTCCAGAGTCATAGAGTTCTTCCATTGCCTTCCATGTGCTAGGTATGTTGGGTGGCACAAAATTTTCAGGCTGAAAGCCCACAGACCCTTTCTTCATTTCAACTGGCCAGTGGATCTTAAAAGGCAAAGTCATCAATTTACAATCTATTTTATCATAAATAAGTCATGCATCTTAATTAAAGAATTGGAATAAAGCATGCTACATGCACCACTGAAGGTCTCACAAAATAATGTTCAACAAAACATGCTGCATAACAAATAGTTGCAAGAATTTTGTAATAGTTAGGGTAGTGATTAGAAAGAACCACGTTTTGTGCATATAGCATTTTCTGAAACTTTGTGTGATATATGTAACAAAATGAGGTTAATTCCAGCATACAAAGATAAATTCCATTACAATTTTGAAGGAATGTTAATCTAGACAAAATAGTCACTATATGTAACCAAGAGATAAATGGATTCTCTGATTAAGTGATACTGCATACAAGGTATAAATCCACATAATCAAGCTGCAAGTCTCTCAAAGTTCTCTCCAACGCTTCTGGTACTTCTTCTGGAGCATGATCATTATTCCTGCATATTACCATAATTTAAGCCACAGGCAAACATTGGGTTCTAGACAAGGTGAGATACTCACAGTTGCATGATTCAATTTGCATCACTTTAGCTTGAAGGGTGACACACCAAGAGAATTGAAAACTAAACAAACCTCAATTTAGAGGTAATCCACAAATCCTCACGCTTCACAACACCCTCGTCAAACAGTTTCTTTAGTGCTGAACCTATCTGCATTGACAAGATTGCATCATTGGCACTTTTGCAGTAGCAAAGATGTCTTACAATATCTGCTATTACAAAGACATGGCTTTACATCAATTATTATAATTACCTCCTTTTCATTGCCATAAGCCTGAGCGCAATCAATATGTCGGTAACCAGCCTGTAATTTCCAACAGAAGTCACTTAGCTGAATGCCAAAACATCACAGGATTAGAAAGATTAAACAGAAAAGAGAAAATTTCATAAACATAGTCACTTAATTGCCATCTTATTCATCCCATTCCACCCAGGGGGAAAAGCTAAATCACAATCAGACGCCTTTAATCCAATCCTCTTTACTTCTTCAGTCTTTCATTTTTAGGACACTGTGACATACTTATTAAAACTTGATTAGAGTATAAATGAGAATATTAAAAGAAAAATATACTATTAATTTCTCACACGGAACCTTGACCATCCAGCAATTCACGATGTATGCTCATTCTGAAATAAAACTAACAGGACACCTCACTCTTCACCCTACACATGCAGCCGCCATCTCTCACACACTTCACATTCTCACAATGTCTGCCTCCTCTCTCTTCCATGGTTGCTCTCTTATTCTCCACAATCTAAACACTCGACATTGATATCAAATTTCAAGTATTCAATAATCTCATAGCTTGAAGCAACCACAAGAAAAATAAAGTTCACGGAAATTGAAAAGGGACCTTGATGGCGGCAGCAACGGCGTCGCCAACGACACCGGGAGAAGACTGCCAAGTTCCCAAACCAAGTGAAGGGATTTGAGCTCCAGTGTTGAGCTGGAAGAATCGAATCTCGTTGCTCGTCATTGTTTTCTTACTCTCCAAGTCGAAGCAGAGAAACGAGGAGGCTGAGCGAAGGCTGGTGGAGTGAGGGTGGTTTTCCGGGTCAACAGGAGGCGTGCTTTTAATTTTTCAGATAGTCGATCACGTGAGCCAATCTTCCTCACGATAACATTTTTGTAAGGATGAAGGGTTATTGTCCTCCATAAACTACACGAAGGTCATAACTACCTTTAAATTTGATTATAGATTAATTGTGTCTTTTAATTTTAAAAATTTCATCCATTATCATTCATTTATTTTTTCCTCGTTGACCGTCGATAATTCTCACATTATTTTTTAATATAAAATATTTATATTAAAGGGTAAAAATACTTTTCGAATAAAATTTAAGGGACAAAAATGATCATTAATTTGATAAAAAATAATGAGACTCGTTAACGACTAATATATATTAAATATTTTTAACGTTAAAGTAATACCAAAAGAAATTTTTAAAATTGAGAAATAAATTGACTCATAATTAAATTTAAAATTATTCATAACCATTCGTGTATAATTTAGAATAAAAATAATTCTTAACTTTTTTTTAACTAAAGTTATCAACGATTTATATCAAAATTTAATATTTTTTTATTTTAAATTATAAGATAATTTAAAATAAAATTATGTATACTAATAAAATAGAATAATAACATTTCAATAACTTATTTTTTAAAAAATAAAATTATAAACTTTTAAAAATACTCTTACATGTTATGTTATAATATCATTTTAATTATTTTTTTAATTGAAGAGTAATATTAAAAAAAATATTATTAATAAGATTTTAATTTTAAAAAAATTATTTTATATTTTGGGATCAAAAAAATTAAACATTATCTTATACTTTAAGATGTTAAGAATAATTTAAATTTTTATAATTTAATATTTTAATAATAATTTTTTAAAGCATTGAATTTAGATAGTTTAAAGTGTGGTAGGGAGAAAATAGAGACCAAAGAGACAAGTAAATGGAGAGAAATAGAGTGAAAAAATTTTTTTTGGGGGGGGGGGGTTTACCTTCTTCGAGGACAGGAGTTTATAAAGCTGTTTGAAATTATTTTTATTTTATTATTTTAAAAATTGGTGTTTTATAGAACATGTTCTGAAAATAAAAAATAATAAAAATAGATATTTTTTTATTTTTTCTTGTTCTTTAGAACAATAATTACAAAGCACCTAAAAGTTGTTTTTATTTTTCTGTTCTCCATAACAATATTTTATTTTTTTTGTTCTCTAAAATACTTTTTGAAAATACGTTATCAAATAAACTTTTTTGTTCTCTTACTTTGGAGAACAAAAAATTATTTTTAAAATAGGTTTTCAAACAGACCCTATGTTACTATCCTTATTTTCTTACCATGTGTACTCTGACCTTTCACCTTCATGTTTCATTTGTTGAGAATGACAATTAAATTTTAAAAAAAGAAATTAATGATAGCTAGACCTTTAAAAAAAGTTGTTTGAAAGATCAATTATAAATATCAATTTAAATAATTAAAATTTTAAAAATTTTAATTACAAATATGATATTTAAAATTTAAATGTAACAATTAGTATATAATTTAGATTCTTATTTATAACTATTTAAAATGATATTTATAATTTATTTTACAAAAAAATTTATTAAAAATATAACTATTATTAATTTATTCTTTTAAAAATTTATGATAATCCTCCCTTCGTAGAACCTGTCACTAAGGACAAGGAGTAAAGCCTCTTCTTCTTTTTTATTTTTTTAATATTAGGAGTCTAGGACCCTACTTCATCTCTTACTAAAAGATGATGAAATATTATCTTATTATCTTAGGGTAATTAGTGGCATTTTTATTTTGAAAATTACAATAATGTAGCCTAAATTTTAGCTTTTCCTATCATTTAAGTACATTTGGTATGTAGGACTAAGTAATTGTGATTGGGTAATATCAAATTTTTATGTCTAGTAAGTGAAAATGACAAATTTATTCTCAAGCCCAATCCCATTTAGGTAAGAATATCCAATACCACCTCCCTTGATATTGGAAAATCAATCTCAAGATTGAAAAGTTGCAAGGGGTCTCCAGTCTCCACCTCTACTGTCTACGGTGACACCATGCCCCTTGTCAGCAATGCTGTCTTCCCCCAATGGTGACATTCAATCCTTGTCTTCCACCCATGTCGACATTGTCTCCCTCAGGTCTCAAGTTAGTAAGTCCTCACGTCCTTGCATCTCATATCTGCAATTGCCATCTTTAATCATCATATTGTGTCTCAAATCTGCAACCTATTAGTACTTGAGTGTTTGGGCAATCAAATGAAGCAACGAGAGGCAAAGTTGTAGCAACACTCATAGAAAATGAGGTCAAAACTCAAGGGTTTTGAGTTCTCAAAATAGGCAATAAAGCATGTGGCTTTGGCCAAAACTTTCCCCTTCCTCCTCTTCCACCACTCTCTCCTCTAGCTCCCTTGCATCCACCACTGAGAAACTCCACCATGCTATCAGCCTCCCTAAGAATCAACTTCAATCTGAAGTACAAAGCTCGAGAAGATTGATCTTGCCCTCAACTATGAAATGAAGCTTTGAAAGTATTGGAAAGAGGAGTGGAGGAGTTCAATAGAATCTTCTTCCTCCCTTGAACTGTGTAGTTGTTCATCTTCATCCCTAATTGTACATTTTTTTTTACTAATACTAAGAGGCATTATGGTATTTTGCTTATTTATGATGAATTATAAAAAAAAAATTAATGCAAGTATTACTTTCAAATATTACTTTATATCAAACATATTTTTAAAATCCCAATCCCAATCTCAATCCCTCAAAATTTATAACTACGTACCAAACAAGGCCTTAACATAATGCTAACTATTTTGTATTTACTTTATAAATGTATAATCATCAATATACCTGTATTAAGTAGCAGGATGAACATTATTTAAAATAAAAGTCACCTTAATGCATTTGGTACGTGCTACATAGATAAGGTTTTTCACTCAATAACCCTGTTATTCATGAATGTGAAAAAAAAAAAGTAAAAAAGTAAATGCAAAATGAGAAATGTGCGACATTTTTCTAGCTTAAGGCATGAAACTAATTTTCCCAAAAAAGGTCACAAACTTTAAAAGAAAAGGAAATAGAAAGAGCAGGGAAAAAAATAAGCACAAGTGAAAAGGTGAAACTCGTGAAAAAAATACAGAGAAAGAAGCATGGGGAAAAAATAAGAATGATAAATTAGAGAAGCACAATCTTGCACCAACACCCGGGCTCATTCATATGGCGCTACACCCCGCCATTAAGAACTATAAAGCTACCAATTGTTTTTCCCCCCCCCGTTAATCTGACAGCACGGAATATGTTGATTCACTCATTGTCTCATCACGTGGAATACAGGTTTCTGTAACTTCAGTTATATCTAATAGACAGTAATAACAGGAGAAAGTGTATCCAGAGAAAGTATCTTCAACTATTCGCCATCCCAGAGTTCTTCAATTGTTCTGTAGGCACCAAATGTTTCATGAACAAAGGAGGCGCCTGTAACTAGTTTCTCCTGCATCAGCATGATTGGTAAATATCATTTTTTTAAAAAAGAAGACTTCTACTCAAGCAGCAAACTATCTTTCAAGTTTCTGACAACAATTAGCTTGTGCATAACACTAAATGGTAGGGTTAATTATAACTTTAATCCCTATACCAGAAAGCAATAATCCCTCTATTATTCATTAAAGCAAGTAAATTCTTCTAACTTTAACCAAATCAGTTCAATGACATAATTATTATTCTGGAAAAATTGTGCATTAGAACCAAATAACTGAGATATTTGAGAGGAATAACCAAATCTTGAAGATCCTTAAGGTGCATTGCAGATCTGCAGTTAAGCTTCAAAAAATTATCAATGCAGATCCTTGAAAGTCTCTTCAAACTCAATTACAGATTTTAAAATCTTCAATAATCTTCAAGCCTCGGTCCTTCGTCCCAAATATTTCAATTCATTTGGTTCTTATGCACAATTTCCCCTAGTTTTTTTCCCAGCTTTTTGGCTTGAAGAAACCTTGATATGACCTATTCACCTATGGTTGCTGATTGCCAATTGAGTAATTGGATACAAAACGTTGATTAAATTAACCGGAAAAGGACTGAATTGCACAGATAAGAAAATTGGAGGAATAACATTGCTCAAATTGAAGAAGTGACTAAATTATTTTCCGGTGTAAGAAAAGTGCACAATTAAACAGGTAATACCTATCTAGAAATAAAGGAAGGCTGAAGCACAACAAAACAAGACAAAAATATTGCATCAAGTATTCAAGTGACTTGCCTGCTTAATCTCAGAGAAGTTGGCAAGAAATTCCGAAGGCATACACCAGTCAAACAAATCAAGGTTTTCCTTGATCCTGGCATGATTTGTGCTCTTAGGCAGTACACTATGACCCATTTGTAGTCCCCACCGAAGAGCCACTTGTGCTGGAGTTTTCCCCAATTTCTTCGCAACCATGTGCAGAACTTGATTCTTAAGAACCTCACTCCTATTAAACCCTTTACCCAGTGGTGAATAACCCTGAATCACAATGATAATTTGTCAATCATTTAGTCATTTGTGACCTTCGTATTCAGCTATACGTGAACATCTACAATTATTTATCGTCTATCATAAATGGCTGTAGATGTGCTTACTCACAGATAAATGCACTCCCTTGGATATGCAGAAAGCGTGTAACTTCAACTGCTGCCATGAAGGATGGCATTCCACTTGGTTAACAGCAGGAGGAACATGTGCCACCTCCAACAGATCCTGAAGCTTCCTTGAAGAGAAGTTGCTTACTCCTATAGATCGAACCTTGCCAGAATTGTAGAGTGCTTCCATTGCTCTCCATGTGCTCAGTATATCAGGTTGGGTGAGATTTTCAGGCTTATCGTCAACAGAACCTTTTCTCATGCTGACAGGCCAGTGAATCTGGGTGACCATTGAGCAATTAAACAAAGGAAGTATTACTATAAGAACTCATCTTATGAATCAACTGAGACAAAATTAATAGAAATTGCAAAGATATCCTTAGTAATACACATACAAGGTAAAGATCCAGATAATCCAGCTGCAAATCCTGAAGAGTTCTATCCAATGCTTTTGGTACATCTTCTGACAAGTGATCAGTACACCTGGATATATGGTAAAATAAATTAGGTGGAAAAGAAAGTAAGATTTGAGCCATTATGATCTTAGATATTAACATGCTTAAAGACAAGTTAGCCAGCAATTTCAACAAATCCAAGAAATATGCCCATCTAGTGAGGGCTAATACTGTATCTTGAGAAATTACTCTCCTTATCCATCCCACCCCACAAACAAATAGAAATATAAATAAATCCACAAAAAACCCTCAAAACTATCCTCTCCTTCCTTTCACTGGGCCAGTGGCTATGATTATCTATTTCTTTTGCACATCCAGACATCATATCCTTAATTAGTCTTATAACAAGATTCTCAGTCCCAATAACAACATATAGTTATTAGGTACAGTGAAGGATTTGTGCTTCAGATTTACGGTGTGTTCAGAGCCAGAAGGTGCCAAAATACGTCCTAGATATCGCATGAATTGAATCTGACAGTGAGTAACTAAATAAAAATTGAAGATCATTTGATGGGTCATACAAGTAATAGAAACGTTATGTATCAGCTTGCATTGGAGTTATGACAACATTCTGCGTTCTTCTTCATACAAGCAAAATATTTATCCTAAAAAATAATTCCTCCTTCAAACATGAAATCAATTAATTTGTGGTTATTATAACAAACAAAAATCATCGATGATTTATTGAGACAAGTTGCCTCTAAGAATATCACTGAGGATGCTGATTAAAGAGTTTTCCTCTTTCCAAGAACAGAGAAGATTCAGGAAATGAATTATCTTGCACATTTAGATCGTCTAATTAAATTTGATGACTTTAAATGTGAAGCCCCCTTCAACTGTTTTGAGGCAATTCCAGAAAATACGAGGGGCAAGGACGTAAAGTCACCCATGAGGTTGTGTTTACTATAAATATTTCATACATAACTGACATACTGAAGAACTTTGCGTGACAGGTGATGACACACCAAAATTTGCAATCAGAATTATCAAAGAGCATAATAGATACTCTCAGTCCATGAAAACAAAGCAAACCAGAGTTTGGAGGTGATCCACACATTTTCTCGCTTAACTACACCATCATCAAAAAGACTCTTCAAGGCATGACCAATCTGTATAAAATAAGCCATATGTTGTTAATCATTTTTTCAGGTGCTGTCAGCTAGTTCTTGCTATAAACTAAACAATGTTGAAAGAAAGGGAGGGAGACAGAGAGGAAATAGGCTTCCAATGGACGGAAAAACAATAACACAAGAAAAAAAAAACGCATTTTTTTTTCTTTTTTCAACGAAGAAGAATCTAAATGATTCTCACCTCCTGTTCATTGCCATAAGCTTGAGCACAATCTATATGCCGATATCCAACCTGCATTAAAATTTTATCATCGGTTGCTCTAAAATTCGTAGGGTAACAGTGATAGAACAACGCAAAACATCAAACAAGTTTTCAAATAAAATTTTGAAAGATTATGATTAATTACAAATAACATCAATATCATATGCAATCCCCTCCCTCTTTTACAACTAAGAAACAATAAAGCAGTTGAAACTGCGTTCCTTTACGCTATAAACATTTGCATAAATAGCTTCTCAAAATTCATCATAGGAAAAGATTTTTTTTTTTTTGGGGGGTGGGGGAAGCAAATACAGAAACCAAAATAACAATTAAGAAAAAGGACAAAATCAGAGAACCTTGATGGCGGCGGCTATGGCATCAGCAACGACGCCGGGTTCAGCACGCCAAGTACCCAAACCAACAGAAGGTATTTTAGCCCCCGTATTCAGCTCGAAGAATCGAATTTCATCCGCCATTGCTCACAGGGTCAGATGAATGTAACTACTCAGGAAAGCCACCCACAAGTCTTTCTTCGATTCCAGTGCTTGGGCGATCGCAAAACAAACAAAAATATAGAACGCGAAGACACGGCAAGCGGGTACGAGGAGCATCACCAGCGAAGTTGATGATTCAAGAATACAAGTGGATAGAAACTTTTGAGTTCTTTGGACACCTACTAACCATTACGAGATTGGGGCCGCGTTGTCATTGTTCATTTCATTCATGTCAGTCAGATACTCACCTCTCAATATATACATATGTTGACATCCATTGAGATGAGGTACTGCTATGTCTTGGTCAAAAAAAAAAAAAAAGGATTTTGATATGCAGATGCAGTGCGTTATTTTTTTAAAATTAAACTAGAAAGATATCCCGTAGGTTGCATGGGCTTAAAAAACTACAAATTACGTGTTTAAATATTATTTGTTAAATACATATGGCTAATATTTTATTGAAATGATACAAATGATTAGTTATGTGACATGTGTGTACTAAATTTTTTTAATGTATTGAATTTTAAATATCCATATTTATTAATGTTGACTACCTACGACTTATTTTTATAAATAATTATTAATTAATAATAATTAATTCATTAATTATTAAATAGTTATTATTAACAAATTAATTGAGAGGTACATGCACCTCGAAAATTATAAATGATGGGTATGAGTTTTTTTTAAAAAAATTGCACCCTTTCCTTTTATATTTTACACTCTTTGTTCTTGATATATTGAAGATTAAACTCACTTGAGTCTCACTTTTAACATAGATTTCAATTTTAATTTTAAACTGATTAAATGAACTTGTTCTCTTAATTCAAAATCCTGACTTCACTACTAAATGCTGACATTTGAATCTCTAATCACTTATGTAAGTTACAAGAACCCTGCCACTCACATTTAAGTTGGTTATTATATTTTATTTAGGAAAAAATTTATATACTTAACTTTATATATTTAATGTTCTTGTTTTTAATCAAATTAAGACATGTAAATCTTATATAAATTATTTATTATATAACAAATTATTATTATTAATTTTATAACACATTAAGATTCACTTATCATAATTTCAATCAGTATAAGTATATTAAGTATATAAAACTAAACACACAACTCTTACGCTTTTATTTATTATTTGTCATGTAAGCAACTCTACATCAATACATTATTCATTAGCTCACTAATAAATCAATAAATTAATTCATAAACTTGTAATTGCCCCTTTTATATGATAAATTGGCCCATTGATTGAAAAACATTTTGTACCCAAAAAATATGAACTTAATCTTTGAAAATTTGAAAGTGTGGCAAGTTATATAAATGGGGTTTATGATTGAATATTTAAAAATTTATAAAGAATTTATCGTTGATATATAATAATATATCATTAACAAATATAATAAATTAACCATAATATAAAATATAATAAATGTTAGGCTATTTATTTGGTTTTATCCTATAATATGAGATATATTTATAAAAGCACCGGTTTTATAATAGTAAGAATTTTTAGGACTTATATTCATATCTATATTTATATTTGCATATATAAAACATCATAATCTATCTAAAATAAACTAATTTATTTTTAAAAAATTTAAATTGAAAATTTATTTTAACTATTATTAGATTATGGTATGATTTATTCCCTCCATCTCTATATATAAGATATTTTTAATCAAATCACACAAACTAATAAAATTTGATTATTTAATTAAAAGTATAACAAGATTTTAACTTTACTCCTAATTATTGTAAATAAAAAATAAATTTTTTATCAAAGTAAATTAATGAGAGTACTTATATTTTTTTCTTTTTAATTTAACAATGGTATAATAATCTATTCATTAAAAAAATACAAACAATCCCTTATATTAAGGGACAAAAATAATTCTAAAAGACTTCTTATATATAGAAACAGAGCGAGTATATGATTATATGATACAACATGATAGATAATCCTGCTTTAAAAATAAGAATAAAATGATAATGACATGCATTATATTGGAAGTTGAAGTAGTAACAAATAAATTATATGGATAAAAACAAATAAATAAAATTTAAATAATCCATTAATTAAAATTTTTTATCCAGTATTTAAATCACCCATCTACTTCCATGATAATATGATTGAAAATTAAATCATTGCAGTAACCGAAGCAATATTGACAACAATTACTTTAAAACATTATTAGTCTTTATTAGAATTATAGGAGTTGAAGATTATATTTAAATTTAAATTATAAAAAAGGAAAATAAAGATATATATATGATAATAAAGTGATCGGCCAATGGACATTCTCCTACTACATTTATATTATAAATTTGAATTTGAATTCAATTCAATGAATATATAATGAATAGAAGTAGAAATAGATAGATTCGTCAAGGAAAAATTACGCAGGAGACTTATTTATAAATAAGTCATGTAAAATTAAAAAACTATAATTAATTTTTTGAAATTTAAAATTAAAGTCAAAAGATAATAATGCACTAGTTAAAAATATATTACATTAATCAAATAATTTACAATTACTTTATTAATAATATATAACTATTACTTTAACTTTTTTACAACGATAAATTTATATATTTAATAGTTAAATCAATTATGAATTATTAAAAAGTTTAACATTAATTATTTACAACTATTTTATCAATAATTTACAATTATTACTTTAACTTTTTACATCTGTAATTTCACATGTTTAATAGTTAAATTGATTATGCATTATTAACAAAGTTTAATAATAACTGTTCACAATTACTTTATCACTAATTTATAACAATTACTTTAATAATTTACAAATATAACTTCATATATTCAATGATTAAAATATTTGAATATTTGATATAAAAAGTTGAAGTGATAGTTGTAAATTATTAATAAAGTTGTTATATATTATTTGATTAATGTAATATATTTTTAATAACAACATTATTATCTTTGCATTCTAACTTTAAATTACATTCAGGTTCCAAGGAACCTGACTGTGGTTTTAAATTTTGGGAGACTTACTAATAAAAAAATTTATTCCATGAAACCTATATGTAATTTTTTCTAAATTCAAATAATAAAATTTAATGACTAATGTAATGTTGGAGTTTTGTTGTATGTGTATGTCAAATGAAGTTTTACATTGGTCATTTGAAAAATTGAGAAAGCCTTAATGTGTATACATTAAGATGAAAATTTGAGCAAGTAAATGGGTTAAAAAGAAAAGTGGACTCGCACAAATAATAACAGGTCAATATAGTTGAAATTTGGCTTTTTTTTTGCTGTGCACGAGTTAAATGTGGTGTTGGCACTTTAATCACCAGTAATTAATTTTTATTACAATGCTTGAAATGGTTTTCCTTAATGGTCATTAAACCATATTTAATAATATTCAAGTATATGAATTTATATTTAATCAGATGTTGGATGATGAAACAAATTACCCCAAAAATTGGTCGGAGGTACTGTCATAACAATAGCAACACGCTGTAATCCACTACACAGTAAGAGGACTTTCCTCTCACAGCTAATAGTGGAATTTGAGAAGTGTCCAAATTGTCATCTTTTGTTCATTGCATGTATTAATTTATATTTCCATGTTTCTATTACTTCTTTTAGCTTGTTCTAAACTATCATTTGAGCTCGTATATCTTTTCAAAAAGAGTTTCTTGCGATCCCAACTTCTAAACTGATTTTTCTTGAGCCCTTATATTAGGATAACATAATATAAGGAATTAATTAATCATGATTATTATAACAGTGTTATGTGCTATGCTCTGATAATGTTAAGACGAGCATTACAACTTCGCCAATACTAAATAGTATTGGTCTAGGTCTGGTTCATATTTCAAAAGATATCAAATTTAAAACGGCTATACTCATAGTTGTAACTCAAGTATTTATATTTCTTTTGACACATGTAAGGGATTGTTAGAGTTTCTATGTTTGTGTATGTTAAAACAAATCTTACATTGCTCATTGAGGACTTGAGGAAGCCTCAGTGTATATACATTAAAATGAAAATTTGAGCAAGTAAATGGGCAAAAAAAAGAAGTGGGCTCACACACATAATAATAGGATCAATATGGTTGAGATCCGACTTTTTTTTCACTTTATTCACCTTTAATTAATTTGATTACAATGTTCAACAATAGTTTTTCTTAATGGCCATTAAAACATATTTGATTATATTCAAATCCATTAATATGTATTTAATCATCCTTAAATCACCCATAAATTTTGGCTTATATAAGCTTAAGCAAGAGTTTTTGAACTTTTCTTTTCTTCCTCTTGAGTTCTTCCTTTCTTGTTTATATTTATACTATTTTGTCACCCTATTTATTCTATAGGAGGGTTTTGTTTAATTCAAAAAAAATGACAATATTAAAATAATTTTTAAGTATAGTATTCTTAGATACATCTCAAAATAAATCTTTTATAAGATTTTTCAACATGTGAGACAATCCATCCATTAAAAAAGACATTTGAATTGAACTGATTGGGATGGTAATGTGCTAGTTTTGTATCACATCAACATTGATGATTGCATGGCTTTTCAGGTGATAGGTTGCAGGTGTTTGTTCTCCATTTCTTTACCAATGAAGCTAACGTATGACTCAAACGGGATGTAATCCAAATAATCAAAATGGATAGAAACAAATATTACTCTGTTTTTATTTGTAAAAAAAATTATCACTTTTTATTTTTTTTATATAAATAAAATTATATATTTTAATGAACATTTATTATACATTTTTTAAATCACCCTTTATAATTTACATTAATGAAAAATAATTAATGTACACTTATATTGATTAGCATAAGGCATTTTAGTTTAATTTTTTTATTTTCAGACATAATTATTATGGTTAATTAATTTTTTTAAATTATGTGATATAATTTTTTTTTCTTCTATATAGAAAGAGAGGGAGTACAACCGAATATATGTAATATGACAAAAAAATCCTTATCTTCTGACTGCTGTGAACCTCAGCGGCCAAGAAAAATGACAGAATTAAACCGTCCTACCTTTATTGGACTGGAAGGCAATTTGAACATCAACAAACTCACAAGTAATTTGTGATTAGTTCACTTGTAATCATCAATTAATGCTGCGTCCTGCTTCTCATTCACAGTTCACCATCCCAGAGTTCTTCAATGGTCTTGTAGAACCCAAGTGTCTCGTGAACAAATCCAGTTCCCTTGATTAGCCTCTCCTGCACCAACGGATTTCATGAGTTAATCCAAAAGGCGAGCATTTTCTACGCATTACACATTACAAATGAATGAAAGACTTGCCTGCTTAATCTCAGAGAACTTGGCCATTAATTCTTCAGGGATAGACCAATCGAAGACACGGAAGTTTTCTTTGATTCTGTTCTCGCTCGAGCTCTTAGGGAGGACGCTGTGACCTGCTTGGAGGCCCCAACGAAGGGCCACTTGAGCCGGAGTCTTCCCCAGCTTCTCTGCCACCACGTTGATCACTGGATGCTTAAGGACGTCGCTCTTGACACCTGCTGTTCCTCGAGACCCCAGTGGTGAATATCCCTATATATGACAGAAGTCATCGTTATCAACATATCAATGCAAAATATATAATTTATAACAGATCACTCAATTTATCGATTCTAAACCACATCTAGTTTCATTTAAAGAAATTATTGCTCTTTGGATGTGCAGTATTTAGATTTCTTTTCTCCAATTAATTATGTGTAGAAGCTTAAAACCATTTTCTCCAATTATTTTATAATTTATAAAGGAAATAACACTTCTATGTTTTTTATTCTTTATTAACAATTAAACAAGTACTTTCCGATGTATAAAAAATAAACCAATTAATCCATCCATTCTTAATTATAAAGCAAATGTAACCATGACTTTTTTAATTTTTCTCTACACTTAAATTAATAACTACAACAAAGAAGTGCGTCTAAGAATTATAATTTGGGTACAGTTAACGACGAACAATATTAAAAAAAATATTTATTTGAAGGAGGCTTATATTCACGATCAAACAAGCCTTTAAAACTTTGATCCAGACATGAGGGAGCAGGGTGATTAACTCGTGCTTCGATTTTAGGATCCCCGTGCAGAACCAGACTCAAATATGAGGCGTAGATTTTGGGTGCAATACCAGCGATCATGTACGCTCTGAGCCTCTGATTAATTTGAAAGTATCTCTAAACATTAATCTGACAGGCGGCAGCCTTAAATTGTTTTATCCAAATAGACAGAGGAACTATATATATTTTGATAGATTTTGCCCCCTTGTTGATAATTGGAGCTGTGGATTTAGGGTGGTGTTGTATGTACTCACAGAGATGTGAACTCCATGGGATGCACAGAATTCATGGAGCTTGGGCTGCTGCCACAGGGGGTGGCATTCCACTTGATTCACAGCAGGAGGCACTCTTGCAATCTGCAGCAGCTCATTCAGCTTCTTCGTCGAGAAATTGCTCACTCCGATTGCTCTCGCCTTACCGGACTCGTACGCCGCTTCCATCGCTCTCCACGTGCTCGCTATGTCTGTTTTTGTTTCCGCCAGATTCTCAGGCTTGAGTCCCACCGATCCCTTCTTCATTCTCACTGGCCAGTGTATCTACAAAAATCACACCATATCTTCGTCTCGTTCAACCAAAAGAATTGGCTCGTGAATTAGCGTGAAGTATAAATCTTAAACGTAAAAGATAGATTATACCAGATAGAGATCTAGGTAGTCAAGCTGCAATTCCTTTAGAGTTTTATCCAACGCCTTTGGTACGTCCTCAGGAGCATGATCTGCGCACCTGGAGTTTATCAGAAAAACAGAGCATCTCCGTTCAGTGCAGAAACCAGAGGCAGAAATGTATATTCTGAGAGTGAAAAGCTGGAGAGAAACTTCCAGACGATACAAACCAGAGTTTGGAGGTGATCCATAAGTCTTCACGTTTCACAATTCCTTCATCAAACAGTTTCTTAAGAGCAGAACCAATCTACGAAAACCATATGAAAGATATCAGACTAATGAATAATAGCTTATACAAAGCAATAGAGAGAAAATACAAAAGAAATAAGTAATAGTGATAGATCATTCATTAGTAATACCTCTGCTTGATTGTAGTAAGCTTGAGCACAATCGATGTGCCTGTACCCGACCTGCATAATTCATGACCTTTGTGTAAGCTGAGGTCCCACCAAGGAATCAAACAAGCAAAAAGAATAAATCACAATGAATTCCTTCAAGTTTTTGGAATTTATGCCTTAATAGCAGTAGTAACTGCATTGGCAACAACGCCAGGATCAGCCTGGTATGTCCCCTGACCAACGGAAGGCATCTTAGCCCCAGTGTTGAGCTCGAAGAATCTAATTGCCTTCGCCATTTCCCAATGTTGGAGCGATCAATGTGGGTTTTCTCTTTCTATGTGAATGTGAGGTCGCTGCTACAATTTATAGGCACAATGAGCGAACCCTTGTTGAAGAAGAAGGAGGAGCATGAGCGGCGAAACTCGCAGAAAAAGTCAAGATGGCGAATAGGCATTTTGGAGAAAGATGACAATAAAATCTTTTCAATTATATAAATAATAATTTAATTTTTTATAATGTTACAATTTCATTAAAATTTTTAAAAAATTTTATATTAATAAATTTTAAAATAAAAAATTATTTTATTCTAATTAAAAATAATAAAACTCAATCATAGTTTTTATTTAAAAAATAATAATTTTTATTTCGTAAATTATAAGAATTGAATAAAAAATTAAAAACTTATCAAACATAATTTTTATTATTAAAAAGGGATAATAACAAGTAAGGACCCATAAAAATATTAATGTCAAATTAAAATTTTTTTATGCTAATGTTTCCAAATTTAATATTCATTCTTTCATATTTTAATATTAAAATTTTTAATTTAGCATTAACATTCATATAAAGACCTTATTTGTCATTCTTCTTATTAAAAACAAGCTCTGATCATAATTTTTGGCTTGAGAAATATTAGCTTTTGTTATGTGAATCATAAGTGTTGAATAAAAAATCACAACTTCTCAAGTGTATTTTTTATTATTGAAAAATAAATTCTTAAAATAACAAACTTTAATTATAACTTTTATTTAAAGAATAATAATTTTTATTCAAAAAATGATAATAATTAAATAAAAAATTATAACTCATTCATGAAAATAAAATAATCTTTTTAAATTAAATTTATTATGATAAAATTTTTTAAAAATTTTAATAAAATTATAGCATTTTAAAATATTATATTGTTTAGGGACAATTATATCGAAGTTCCACATAAAAAAATTAATTATTATAAAATTTATTAAAAATTAAATTAAATTATATTAATAACATAATAGTTATCAATATAATTTAATTTAATTATTAATAAATTTTATAATAATTAATTTTTTTATGTAAGATTTAATTGTAATTCTTCTTATTGTTTATCAGTATTCTTTCCATTTAAAAATGTAAAATATTTTTAATTAAATTTTATCCCTCAATAAAGTAGTTAATTATTTTCAAACTAACCATATCTTTTTATTTTTACCCCTATTAAACACGCTATAATAAATATACTTCCTCTGTCTTTATATATAAGGTATTTTTAATCGAATCTCACTTACTAATAAAAATTTGTTATTTAGTTAAACTCACATAAAAATATAATAATTTTTTAGTTTTACCCCTAATAATATCATAGTTAATATTATGATAGTAGTAGGGAAAACATATATTTAATGATTTATTTCATTTTTTAAGATATGGATAAAATTATCTAATTACTTAAAAAAAATCAATGCCACCCCTTATATTTAGGGACAAAATAAGCTTTTAAAAATTATTTTATATATAAGAATGGAGGGGATAAAGTCATTCATTAATAGGGATACTTTTGAAAAAAAGATAATGATTACACCTAAAAATGCTTTACATTTTTGAACATCAAACTTTTTAAAAAATATCTTATACTCCCTCCATTCCAAATTATAGGACATTTTTAAACAAAATCTCACATACCAATAAACTTCATTAAATACACTTAACAACCTTATCTTTTCAAAATAAAAATATAAACTTTTAAAAATATTTATCATTTAATGCATTAAAAAGAGAAGAAACGGAAATTAATTGTAAAAAAAGAAAGGATAATATTGTAATTGGTATATTTAATGAAATCTTAATCTACCCAAAATGTCTTATATTTTAAGATGAAAAAATTTCTTCAAAAATGTCATATAATTTAAAATGGAGGGAGTATTTTTGAATGGAGATTTATCCTTTTCTCAAAATAGTCATTCACTATTTTTTTTTTGTCAAACTTCTAAAAAAGTGAAAAAAATATGTGAAATTGCAGAACAGTTAAACATGATTGATCAGAGACAAGGAATAAAGTTAGGAAAGAATAATTTGATGTTTTTACATATTTTCTAGAGTGTTATATAGGTACAATATACAGATTTTAGAAAGTAGTTCATTGGAGGTTTTAGGCACAGCGCATTTGAGAAATATTGAGCATATGCATTCTTCTGCAGAAAAAAAAAAGAAAGTAGTTTATTAAAAATAGAGAAAATATAATCATAAATTTTGTTAAGAAATAATTTGAAATGTCTCTAACATTATCGTAAGAATTCTTGAAAATTTTTGTAATTTGTATTGTGAGGGTTTGTGAAGTTTGGAGAGAGAATGTCCTATTAGGTTATACTTCTTTAACCCTATTTATAGAATACTTATATAATTATTATGTCCATCTTTATCATTTTACTTCTATTAAATGGTGGGAATGTTATTAAATGCTAAACTATTTTATTTTTAAAGTATATATATTTAATAGAAATAAAATTAAAAACTTGTTGAATTTTTAAATAAAGTTAATAAGATTTAAGATTTTTTTTATTCTGATAAAAATATTACAAGTGATTTATAAATAAAATCAAATGAAATATGTGTGTTTCATCATGGAGAGATTCAAATTCTTAACAAAGTTGGGTCGCGAAAATGTAATGGAGTCACTATGTTATATGAGAATTTGAATTTAGTAAATGGTACATATTTAGTTATTCATTTACTTAATAAGTATCCCACACAATATGATAACAATCCTTGATGCAATTGAAATGCTGTCAATATTTTGTTATATATATGATATATAGAAAATATTGAAATCTCAAATTTTTAAAAAGAACAATGTACTGCATGGGGAGCATGGTGATCGTAAAGGTTGTTTTAAATTTGTAAAGAGAAATATATATTAATATTTTTAAATATTAATTACATTCAATGACTATAGTTATGAAACACTTGTTGGGGGAATGAATTGAAAACACTCACCAAAATCAAAAATGTTGTATGAGGAGTGAGTTAAAAAGTGAAAGCATGATAAAAGGAAAGCGGTGAATGAAAAAGGAGGTGCGTGAATATAATGGCATGGCCGTCCAAGCTCAAGGCATGGCAAAATGCAAAGAAAATAGATAGAAATTATATATGTAAGTTATTTTCTCAAAAAATTATTTTATTCATAAATATAAAAAATATTTTAATATTTTTAAGTAATTAAATAATTTTATTCTTATCTTAAGAAAAAAAATAGGAGATATTAATTGTGTGCTATATTACCCACCACCATTATATTAATTATGACATTATCAAGAGCAAAACTAAACAATTATTGTAATTTTATATACTTTTCAATTAAATAATAAATTTTTATTGGTACACACTTTATATATAAGGTCAAAGAGATTAATAGAAGAATATAAAATATTTTTTTAATTTTCTATGAATATTTCTTTCCATTTAATTATAACTTTAAGTGTGTTTTGTCCAATGTTCATCTTTCATACCGTTGACCAACCGAGAGCTCTTCAAAATCATGTGAAGTTCCATTAACCCGATAAGTAAATAAAGAGCGGGTGGGTGAGTTGTGTGGAGTTGATCAAAGGCACGACAGAGAACCTCCCTCATGTTGTGAGATAGATACACAAACATACATACATACACAGTCCATATTAGACAAGCTTATCAGTATTGTCATGTGGGGGCTGACACTCTAGAGTGTTCACTTAGTTAGCTCTTTCGTCTTGTCTTGCAAATTTCTCATTGTATTTTGGAGCCTTTGATTTTCTCCGATCCCTTGAAAATTGAAATCAGCTCTTGCGTGAATAAAATATCTTTTGCATTGAAATATATAAAGGGACACACACTTGGAATCTTGCTTGTTCGAGCTAGATTGCACTCTGTACTTGCAAGATTTTTGTAATAGCAGTACTTAATTTTCTCTTTTTTTATTTTTTTATCAAAAAAATTACTACAGTTATGTTGGAAGGATTATTTGGTGCTTTTTTTATGAAATATTTTTTATTTTTTCTAAATATTTCTTTTCATTTAATTATAATTGTAGGTGTGTTTTGTCCAATTTCATCTTTCTTACAAGTGTCATCCAAGAACTCTTGAAAACCATGTGAAGTTTTGTTTAGCCAAGAAAGAAATAATAAATAAATAAATAAAGAGTGGCTAGGTGAGTCATGTGAAGTTGAACAAACTACAAAGGCACGACATGGAACCTCTCATGTTGTGAAACAGATACACACACTTACATGGTCTATATACTTCATTCAATCTCATTTATAAGTCACATTCTAAAAGGTTTATTTGATTACATTTATAAATCATGGTGCAGTTTTTTAAGTAATACTTAAAAAATATTTTTAAAATTATCCTTCATAAAAAAATAATAACATGACATCACTTTTTAGCTTTATTATATGAAGGCATATTTGAAATTTGATATACTTTTATTCCTTATACTTTTTTTGCATTAATATTGATGAGATTGATAAAAATAATTTATAAAGAAAACTGGATGAGTAATATCTTTTAACTTATTAGTAATTTCATGTGGTGGCTAATGCTCTAAAGTGACATGGACTTGCTTGGTGCCAAAAGCAACCATTACTGCTGCCCATGATTGGATTGCTTTTGTTGATTGAGATAGGTGAAATATTTCCTCTACTAAACACCATTGACCATTCAAAATCATGGTAATTAAGCAATTAGGTCATAAAAGATTACAAGTTGTGATTTAAGAAAAATAGGAATTTCAATTTTTATAATCAAAATGAGTTAAAACTAACCATTAACTCTTTAATCAGAGTAAAATCAAATTACAAAAGTATGAGATATCCCTGAAGAGTAAAAGAACTTAAAAATAGTTGAAAAATATTAAGTTTGCAAAAAAAAAATAGAGCAATGTACCATGGCTTATGCACATCGCGCCGCGGCGTGTTGCTCTCTATGCCGCGCGCCGCCAATCAGGGGCCAATGTGCTGCAGCGTGTTGCATGTTTTTTATAGTAGATTCTACTATTATTTGACAGTAGAATCGAGCAATTTTCGATGTGTCTTAATTCTTTGTCCGACGTCTGAATGACATGATCTAGGTGTTTATGAGAAGCTCTTTTCATAAATTAACTAATAACATAGGTTTTATTTTTAAAACAAGTCACACCAGGAAGTTGAACATTCAAACACACTTTGACCATTTTTCACAACTTTTTACATCAAAAGAGTGTCCAAAACTTAAAACAAGTGCTAATAGCTATTCCTAACATCCAAACCATACTCATTAGACTTAGAAATACTAGTACAATACATCACATGTACTCAAAAATCAATATAACATAAAATTACTCATTAACCCCTTTTATACCAATAATAAAAGGGGGAGGTAAAATCATTTCATTGCATCAAAATCAATCATAATATATCTAAAATTACATTTATACATTTACACTAGTATTTTGGCCCTATCAATACATATAACTTATCATACACAGTTATTCAGGGACCAAATACAATTCAAATATTTTAAACAACTATATAGTGCAAGTATACACAAAATGCAACTTAAAATTGAAAATAATATTCTATTATATAAAGTATATGAAACTAGAGGCATACAAAAAGGAATGCATAGATTCCTAAGCCTCAGAAGTTTTGTCCCTCTCAGCACTAGAGCTAGAACTTGTAAAATGTTTAATGAAAGAAGTGAATCTAGCCATTCAATTATTAAGGTAAAATATATCATTTGCAGTTATATATCAATTGTAATTAAATATATGCATATGAAATAAAGTTCTTAAAATATGGTTGAACACATATCATAACTTATCACTCCAGTTATAACTTTCCTCAATTATTTCAAACCTTTGAGAAATCAAAGGTTTCCAAGCTTGAATTCCCAAGGTAAATTAGTGTTCAAGAGTGCAATCTACAATCCACAAATTATTGGATTCATCAATATGGTCAAACACACATATTTCAACTCTTATCTTCTCTTTCTAGATTTTTCAATGCCCACAATGTTTATATTTAGGCCTACCTATTAGGCTTATTAACTCTCTTTAGTTCCCAATAACATTAATAAGTTATTAAATTCTCATTAATGACATTACACTCTTCCAACAACCCTCATTAATGCTAAATTCACATATTTATGGGTTCCAACATCCATAAATCCCAAAACTCATCATTTCTAAGTTTTAATACTCCAATCTAATCCTATTAACTCCATTTAAGTCAATGAATTCAAACCCATAACCTATATGGACCGAAAAATCATCTCCCACTATCAAGCTCTAACAAAAAACTCATAAATGTGGATGGGATAGGAAGAAATGGAGTTTAGGTCACTTACCTTAAGTATTTTTAGCTTTAAAATACTCCTAATATCATCCAAAGCTGAACCCTAGTAGAGCTTTCCACTGGTTCTTCGTTTTCCTCTTTACTTCTCTTTAATTTTGCCTTAGTTTGCGATTGATATTCTATAGAAAATGGCTAGCCATAATGAACGCTAAACGTGCCACGATGCATGGCACAAAGAGGCATTCTCTCATTTCAGTTGGGTTTGTGAGCCACAACGGATGTATTTCATGCCGCGACATGTGACACAGAAGTACTTCTTCCTTGGTTTCTTCTCTTTTCAATGCCTAGTTAACCTAACTTCACACTGAACTTATAATTAGGGCTAAAACACAACCAAAATTAATTATTAGACCTCCCTAGCCACACACCACATCAATTTACTTAATTATCTTAATTAAATTTAGTTAATCCATAGATTAAAATTTGAGATGTTATAATAGAATTGTTGACGTCAAACGCGATCGAACCTCCATCAATAGGACCAACCACCGATGGTGACTGAGACCTATCCCATCTGTCATCTAGGACCAAATCATTGATGCCAATGAGGAGTGGACCATGAGCTCTAATTGGGATCAGACTACTAACTTCAATCGAGATGGGACCGTGAGAGCCAATCAAGATTGAATTACCAACTTTGATTGGGATTGAACCGTTGATGCCGACCAGTTATTTTCTAAAAAAATTCCCAATCCAAATCCATCTATCTAAATGCTACCTAATTTATTTTTTATAAATGTAAATTGAAAATTTATTTTAACTATTATTAGATTATGGTATGGTTTATATGATTATATGATACAGCATGATAGATAATCATTCTTTAAAAATAAGAATAAAATGCATTGTATTGGAAGTTGAAGTGATAAAAAATAAATTATATGGCTAAAAATATGAATAAATAAAATTTAAATAATACATTAATTAAAATTTTTTATCTTGTATTTAAATCACCAATCTAGTTCCATGATAATATCATTGAAAATTAAATCAGTATAGTAACCGAAGCAATATTGACAACAATTACTTTAAAACATTATTAGTCTTGATTAGAATTATAGGGGTTGAAGATTATATTTAAATTTAAATTATAAAAGAAAGAAAATAAGGATATATATGATAATAAAATGATTGACCAATGGACATTCTCCTACTAAATTTATATAATAAATTTGACTTGAATTGGATTGAATGAATATAAAATAAACAGAAATAGATTATTCAAATAATATAATTTAATGACTAATGTAATGTTGGAATTTTTGTGTTTGTGTGTGTTAAAAGAAGCCTAACATTGTTTAAACTTAAGGACTTGAGGAAGCCTTAATGTACATATACTAAGATGAATATTTGAATAAGTAAATGGGCTAAAAAAAAGTGGACTTGCGTGCATGATTACGGGCTAATATAGTTGAGATTCAATTTTTTTGCTCTACACAAGTTAGATAAGGTGTGGGGCACTTCAATCACCAATAATTTTTATTATAATATTCAGAAACAGTTTTCTTTAATGATCATTAAGCCATATTTAATTATATTCAAATCCATTAATCTATATTTAATCATCCTTGTATCACCTATAAATTTTGGCTTGTATAAGATTGTCCTCATTGCTTGTTTTGACACACCGTTCAAGTAAGGTAACATTAAGTATTTGCAGTGAGCCATATAATATCATAAGTCAATATCTTCTCATTAGTAAACTCTGACCGAGATCATGCCTTTTAATCTTTTTTATTTTCTTCGAATATTGACCACTTTAACTCTTTAAAGTAGTATAACACTTAAAATTCCTCCCTTAAGTAGTTACTTGGCTTATTTAATGTACTTAACTTAATTACACTTATTTAAATGTAACATTTTATCTTTATGATTACAATGCATGCTAAAAATCTCATTTCATAAAGAATATCATTGTTAAATAGAAAAGAACATAGATATATTATTATCAAAATTAAACCCCATAAATCTTTCTAAAACATATTTATTTACATATGATTGTTTAAAATATATAATACATGCTAGATAGTATTATTTATTTAAAAATATCTAAATAAATTAATAAAAAATATAAATTTTTTCCTTACCTCAACCCCTTTTATTTCAAAAGAGTCCTCTTAGATTAAAAAAAAAAAAATAAGACTTAACTTTTTCCTTCATAAGCTCCACTAACAATCCCTCGAACCAAAGTGCAGTGGCAACAGCTATAAATCAAATCTTCCTGATGCTGAAGAAGGAAAAGAGAAGAACTTCAATCTGCTGCAAGCATGAGAAGGAAGAAGACCAGAATTTTTAGCTAGCAAATGAAAGAATCAAGCTACCAGACATAAACGCATGTGACTTTCAACAGCTGAGAAGGAAGAAAAGAGAAAAACCGAACATGCTCACACACACCGCTGTCATCCACGACACAGCAGAAATAGGGAAAGAGATTCAACCACGCCTCTGTGCAGAAACGGACGAGCAGAGAAGACTAATGACCAAGAGAGGAAGCTGATGGTAAGGATCTAGGAAGGAAAACGATGATCAATAATCAAAAGAGCTTGCTGTCGGTGAGGAGAAGGAAGAAATAAAACTCCGAAAATGCTCTGTTCTCCGCACGGGAATGAGAAGAAAAAAAATCTGAACTAAGGATATTCGGAAAAACTACAACCAAGAGCCTAAAATCTTTTTGTTATAACATAAAACATCAGGAAAACTTTGATAATTTTTTCATAATTTAAAATAAAATAAAATCAACCTTTTAGTTAGTGGAATCTTTATTAAATTATTCTTCATTTTTTATTTAAATTCAACTTTAAAAAATTTCATAATGTTACACTTAGTGCATTTGCTTTGAGATGAAAATTCAAACAAGTAAATAAGCAAAGAATAGAAGTAGGCTCATGCACGTAATAGCAGGTCAATATAGTTGAGATCTAACTTTTTCCCTTGTGCATGAGTTAGATGTGGTGTTTGGCACTTTAATCACCAATAATTAATTTTTATTACGATATTTAGAAATACTTTTTCTTAATGGTTAGTAAATCATATCTAATTATATTTAAGTTCATTAATCTGTATTTAATTGTCCTCAAATCACCTATGAATTTTGGCTTATATAAGTTTGTGCCCACTGCTTGTTTAGACATACCATTTAAGAGTCTTTGAGATATTCTCTTCCTCCTCCTAACTTCTTCCTTTCCTGTTTATATTCCTACTATTCTATTATCCCATTCTTTTTATCGGAGGATTCTGCTCAATTCTAGGGAGATGTTGATGATTGTGTTGAAATGGTTCTTAAAAGCATTATCCTTGGGCATGACTTGGAAAATATTTTTTATATGATTTTCCAACATGTGAAACTATCCATCCTTTTATGAATTGAACTGATTGGGATGGTAATGTCCTAGTTTTTGTATTACACCAACATTGACGATTGCATGGTTTTTTGGGTGATAGGTTGCAGGTGTTTGTTCTCCATTTCATTACCAACAAAGCTAATGTATGAATCCAACGGAAGGTAATCCAAATAATCAAAATGGATGGAAACAAATACAACCGAATATATTTAATGTGACAAAAAAAAAATCCTTATCTTCTGACTGCTGTGAACCTCAACGGCCAAGGAAAATGACCGAATTAATCTGTCCTACAGTTATTGGACTGGAAAGGCATTTTGAACATCAACAAACTCACAAGTAATTTGAGATTAATTTACTTGTAATCATCAATTAATGCTGCATCCTGCTTCTCATTCACAGTTCACCATCCCAGAGTTCTTCAATGGTCTTGTAGAACCCAAGGGTCTCGTGAACAAATCCAGTTCCCTTGATCAGCCTCTCCTGCACCAATGGATTTCATGCGTTAATCCAAAAGCCGAGCATTTTCTACGTATTGAACATTAGAAATGAATGAAAGACTTGCCTGGTTAATCTCAGAGAACTTGGCCATTAATTCTTCAGGGATGGACCAATCGAAGACATGGAAGTTTTCTTTGATTCTGGTCTCGCTCGTGCTCTTAGGGAGGACGCTGTGACCTGCTTGGAGGCCCCAGCGAAGGGCCACTTGAGCCGGAGTCTTCCCCAGCTTCTCTGCCACCATGTTGATCACTGGATGCTTAAGGACGTCACCCTTGATACTTGCTGTTCCTGGAGACCCCAGCGGTGAATATCCCTATAACAGAAATCATCGTTGTCAATATATCAATACAAAATGTATAATTTATAACAGATCACTCCATTTATCGATTCTAAACCACATCTAGTTTCATTTAAAGAAATTACTGCTCTTTGGATGTGCAGTACTTAGTTTTCTTTTCTCCAATTAATTATATACAGAAGCTTAAAATCATTTTCTCCAATTATTTTATAATTTATATTGGAAACAGCACTTCTATGCTTTCTATTCTTTATTAACAATTAAACAAGTGCTTTCCGATGTGCCAAAAAGAAATAGCAATTAAATTAATCCATCCTGTCTTAATTATAAAGCAAATGTAACCATGACTTTTTTAATTTTGCAATACACTTAAAGTAATGACTATAATAAAAAAGTGTGTCAACGAATTATATTTTGGGGACAGTTAAGGACGAACAAAATTAAAAATAATAATAATAACTTGAAGGAGGCTTATATTCATGGTCAAAGAAGGCTTTAAAACTTTGATCCAGCCATGAGGGAGTGAGCGATTAACTCATGCTTCGATTTGAGGGTCCATATGCAGGACCAGACCCAAATATGAGGCCAAGATTTTGGGTGCAATACCAGCGATCATGTAAGCTCTGAGCCTCTGATTAGTTTAAAAATATCTCTAAACATTAATCTGCCAGCCTTAAATTGTTTTATCCAAATAGACAGAGGAGCTGTGTATTGAAAGATTTTGCCTCTTTGGATCAATTGTTATATGCACTCACAGAAATGTGAACTCCATGGGATGCACAGAATTCATGGAGCTTGGGCTGCTGCCACTGGGGGTGGCATTCCACTTGATTAACGGCAGGAGGCACTCTTGCAATCTGCAGCAGCTCATTCAGCTTCTTCGTCGAGAAATTGCTCACTCCGATTGCTCTCGCCTTGCCGGATTCGTACGCCGCCTCCATCGCTCTCCACGTGCTCGCTATGTCTGTTTCCGTCAGATTCTCAGGCTTGAATCCTACCGATCCTCTCTTCATTCTCACTGGCCAGTGTATCTACAAAAATCACACCATATCTTCGCCTCGTTCAACCGAAAGAATTGGCTCGTGAATTAGCGTGAAGTATAAATCTTAAACGTAAAAATAGACTATACCAGATAGAGATCTAGGTAGTCAAGCTGCAACTCCTTCAGAGTTTTATCCAACGCCTTTGGTACGTCCTCAGGAGCATGATCTGCGCACCTGGAGTTTATCAAAAAAACAGAGCATCTCTGTTCATTTCAGCAACCAAATGCAGAGAAACATGTATTCTGAGAGTGAAAAGCTGGAGAGAAACTTCCAGACGATACAGACCAGAGTTTGGAGGTGATCCATAAATCTTCACGTTTCACAATTCCTTCATCAAACAGTTTCTTAAGAGCAGAACCAATCTACGAAAACCATGGGAAATAAATCAGATTAATCAACAAATAGATTATAAAAGCACAGAAAGAAAAGGCAAAAGAAATAAGTAATAGTGATAGATCATTTATTAGTAACACCTCTGCTTGATTGTAGTAAGCTTGAGCACAATCGATGTGCCTGTACCCGACCTGCATAATTCATGACCTTGGTGTAAGCTGAGGTCCCACCAAGAAATCAAACAAGCAAAAAGAATAAATCACAATGAATTCCTTCAAGTTTTTGGAATTTATGCCTTAATAGCAGTGGCAACTGCATTGGCAACAACGCCGGGATCAGCCTGCCATGTCCCCAAACCAACGGAAGGCATCTTAGCCCCAGTGTTGAGCTCGAAGAATCTAATTTCTTTCGCCATTTCCCAATGTTGGAGCGATCAATGTGGGTTTTCTCTTTCTATGTGAGGTCTCTGCTACAATTTATAGGCAGAATGAGGGAACCCTTTAAGAAGGAGGAGAAGGAAGAGCGGCGAAACTCGCAGAAAAAGTGAAGACGGCGAATAGGCATTTTTCGAGAGTCTTCAGCTCTTCTTGATGGCTGATTTACGCGCACACGTCACGGGGCTGGCATCCGAATTTGATTCCTTCTCCCATGCGTGAAAATTAGCCGAACTCCGCGAATACGAATACATGGCCCTTTTCAGTTTTCATTACCCTCCTTTTTATTTTATTACAGTCAAACTTGATCAAAATTTCAATAATTCTAATTTATTATTTTATGAAATTAATATTATAATTTTAAATAAGTAATACATTACTATGTTTAAACTGTTGAAAAAGTTCATCTAATAAAATATTTTAATAATAATTTACCCTTTTAAACTGCACAGAATTTAACAGTTTCAATTTATTTATAAATTTTTATTTAAAATTATAATAGTAATTTTATAAAAAATTAAGGGCTTGTTGGTTTTAACTTATTCAATGAAAAAATTACTTATTTTTTTAAAACAATTATTTTGTGAGTTTTTATTATATTTTTTTAAACTTTTGAAAATAATAAAAAAATTTATTATTTTAAGAAATTATTTTGAGTAGTTTCTAAAAATAAATTAATATGATAAATGAGAGAAAGTGTTTTAAAGAGGTAAAATACGTACAGATATTATAAAATTTTAAAATTACTAACTAATAATCACTTTTTATTATTATAAACAAACATAAAATAATTTTTATTTTTATAAAATTTCTATAAAATAAATATTTTTTATAAAATTTTTAAAATATCTAATTTTTTTTATTTTTAATCTTAAATTAATGATCCCTACTGAAAAAGGAAAAAAAAACAAGGAAAAAATTGAGAGCAAGAGAAAAGGAGAGGTTCCTTTCTCAATGATTTCACAGGAAAATCAAGATAATGGTATTTTATTTTATAAGATAAATATACAATACTCTTGCCAATCTTATCAAAAGTCATCTTAATTTTTAAAAATTATTCTCCCTATTCAAAAATATAAGACATTTTTTTGAAGAGATAGATGTTAAAAAATATAAGACATTTTTAACCTTTCAAGATATAATCATTATTTTTTTTAAAGTACCTCTATATTGATGATGACTTTATATTTATTATAAGGTGTTTAATAGGAATAAATATGAAAAGCTAGGGTTAGTTGAAAAGTAGGTAACTACTTTATTGAAGGTGAGATTCGGTTAAAAATACCTTATATTTTTAAATAGAGGGAGTATATTCTTTGAATCATATTGAGAAAAATATTATTTTATCTTATTTATAAAATATAATATTAATTTTTATCACAAGTTTTCCGTGTTAGCCTGTTAAATGTTGGTAAGGGATAATAAATTATTAAAATATGTATATTTAATAAAAAAATTGATAATTTATTAAATTTATAGTGAGAGTTATTGCATTTCAAGGTTTTTTATTAATTCCTGTAAAATTATGTTGAAAGTAACTTAATTAAAACTAACATTAGTGAGAGTATCAATAATAATTCATTAATCTCTCCTTTTCATCCAAGGACTTTGTGTAGAAAGAATACCCATTAATATCATACACACTCCAACATATAACATCAAAGTTAGGACTTCCTACCAACCATTTAATTATATCAAAAATGTCACTTTCATTCAAAACTTTCTGCTTAAACTAATCTACAAAAGTCTTATTATGCTCTTTTAACAACCTTTGTTCAGTCATTCTCATTTGATAATTTTCTGCCTTTAGAAGTTCGTTGTGAGAAGAAATGTATTCTTTAACTTCATCAATATTATTTAAGATATATAAATGTACTTCTTGTAATTCATCATGACTCATGCTCTTTACTGATATTCCACGTGTGCCTTGACCTAATTGCCTCTTCTCACGATAAGATTTAGGAAGTCTAATTGATTCTGTACTTGACAAGTAATTAGAACAAAATTCAATGGCTTCTTCGGTAACATATTTTTTAACTATCGATGCTTCAAGTTGATATGGATTCTTGACATACTCTTTTAGTATTTTCATGTATCTCTCAACTGGGTACATTCATTGTAAATAAACAGGGCCACGCAATTTTACCTCCCTCACTAGATGTACTATTAGGTGAACCATAATGTCAAAAAAAGTAGGAAGAAAGTGCATCTCAAGTTGGCACAAAATCATACAAGCTTCTTGTTCTAACTCTTCTAGTTTACAGGGATCTATAGCTTTACTGCATAAAGTATTGAAAAAGAAATAGAGTCTAGTTATTGTAAGTTTTAAATCTTCTTTTAATAAACCTCAAATAGCCAAAGGTAATAGTTGTTGTATCAAGACATGGCAATCATGAGACTTTAAGCTTACCAGTTTCAACTCTTTCACAGACATAAGCTTCCCAATATTTGAAGAATACCCCGAAGGAACTTTAATTCCATGTAAACACTCATAAAAATTTATTTTCTCAAACTTGCACAATGTATGAGAGGTTAGGGGACAATAAGTTCACTTACCTTCTGGTCTCGAGTGTAAATCCTCTCGTATTCCCATTTCTTTTAAATCTAATCTTACGTTCACACCGTCCTTGGTCTTTCTTGGTATGTTCAGAAGCATTCCAATAATACTATCACACATGTTTTTCTCCACATGCATAACATCAATACAGTGCCTTACTTTAAGATTGTGCTAATATGAAAGATCAAAAAAGATAGACCTTTTTTTTTCATATGTTTTTTGCACTAATGTTCTTTTTAGTCTTATCGAAGACAATATTGATATCTTTCACCCATTCAAACACTTGATTCCCAGTCAAAGCATTCAGAGCATGATTGTTCTCTTGGTGACCATGAACAGCTTTCTTTAATTTACGATAACGGTGATCTCGTCTAAGAAACTTCCGATGGCCAAGGTAGACTGTCTTCCTTCCATGTTGAAGTTGATGATAGTTTGTGCTTTCTTCACAAATTGGACAAGCTTTATGACCTTTCACACTATAACTAGACAAATTTTCATATGCAGGAAAATTATTTATAGTACAAAAGATCATAGCATGTAACTTAAAATTTTCCTTTCGATTTGCATCAAACATTTCCACACGTACCTCCCACAACATTTTCAAATCTTCAATTAGAGGTCTTAGGTAAATATCAATATCATTTCCAGGTTGTTTTGATCCTGAAATCAATATGAATAGCATCATGTACTTCTGTTTCATGCACAGTCGAGGTGATAGGTTATAAATCACCAAAACAATAGGCTATGAACTATGTATACTACTGAGACTACTATAAGGATTCATTCTATCAGTAGAAAGTTCGAGCCTTAGGTTTCTTGGCTCATTACCAAATTTAAGAAACAATTGATCAATTTTCTTCCACTGAGGAAAATCGACTGGATGTCGAAGTCTTCCATCAAATATCCTCTCATTTGTATGCCACATCAAGTTCTTCGCATCATTAATATTTGCAAACAAGCGCTTGAACCTTGGTATAATTGGAAGATACCATAAGACCTTTGCAGGAGCCCCCTTCTCTTTGTACTGTGGTGCCTCACATTTCGGACACTTCTCCTCCCCTTCAAGCTCGTTTCTGTACAATATACAATCATTAAGGCATGCATGTATTTTTTTTATACTTCATACCCATTGGACATAAGATCTTCTTGGCATCATAATAACAATTTGGTAATACATTGCCTTTCGGCAACATTATTTGAAGTAACTTTAGCAACTAAGTAAAACTTTGGTCACTCTACCTAGCTCTTGCCTTTAAGGTAACCAGTTTTAACACCCCAAATAACAAACTAAAATCAATGCACCCTGGATATAGAGGCTTCTCTGCGTCAGTGCATAAGTTATCATATATATGTGCTCGTTTAAAAGCTTCTTCCCCCACATTACGAATCATGTCCTCTAATCGATCTTCATTCATATCTATTTCATCATTCAGATTATCAATTTTCACGTATTGAGACGTGTTATTATAATGTTCCAATCGTTCACCATGCCAAATTCATATTGTATAATTCTTGCAAATTCCATCACAAATCAAGTGCTCTCTTATTTCGACTGCACCTAATCTCCTCTCATTCAAGCAATTAACACAAGGGAGAACCTTACACTGTTGTCAACAGTATTTTTCTTAGCAAATTCTAAAAATTCCTTCACCCCATTATCATACTCATCACTTGTTCGTCTAGCATTCATCCAACTACGATCCATATGTCAACACCTAAAAAATATACTAATGTTAAAAATTAAACCTTCTTAAAAATGACCATATGCAAACAACTTGATGAGGCCTTCTTAAAAACTAAATTTAAGCAATTCAAAGGAAAAGAATGAATTTTAAAAAATTTCGACAGAGTCTCCCTAAAAATTAGACCTCCCAAGATTTTTAAAAAATTTTAATAGAGAAAATTGATAATTTTAAACCAAATTAATGATCACATGCAACAACTTAAGGCTTTATGAATCCACTAACAGCATTTTCAATAATAATCAATATCATTATTATCATATATATATACACACGCACACACATATCAGCCTAATAAATTAATAAAAAAATACAATCAAATAAAAAATTATCTTTACAAAAATTAAGAGCCATACCTAATCAATCAAGAGTGGTGACAGAAATAAGAGGAGGAGCAAGCAGGAGGAGAAAGAGGCGGTAGAGGTAGGGGGAGGGAATGGCAACAGAAGGGGGAGGGGCAGCTGTAGGGGGAGGGGGTATAGGGATGGGGGGTGGGGGCCGACAGGGAGGGGGATGGGGGTAAGGACGGGGGGGGGCAGGGGGACAGGGGTGGGGACGGGGGTGAGGACCGAGGGGGGTGAGGACGGGGGGCTATGGGGAAGGGGATGAAGGGAAGAGGAAGGATGAATAAGGGACAGGGGATGAGGGAGGAAAGCATGAATGAGTGTTCTAAAGGCACAAAAATAAGGGAAGAGAAGCACGGAGTTTAAAAGTAAAAAAAATTGAACCACTTTCTACAACGAGTCACCATGCACCTACTGTAGAAAGTGGTTTTCTACAGCGGGTGCAAGCCACCCGCTACAGAAAATCGTGTCACCTACTGTAGAAAATTATCTTTCTACAGCGGGTGTTATTTTTAACAGCAGTTGCCTTTTTACTCGATGTAAAATCTATAATACGTATTGTCAAAATTACAAAAATGCCATCACCTTAACTTTTTACATTGTTTGGCTTTCAACCGATGTAGAAAGTGCCCCTTAAATTTTATATTTTGTACTAGTGAATGACATGGTTAGAGCAAGCAGAAAAATATTTCAAGAGGATGGAGAAGAAAAACAAAAAAACCAAAACCTTGAAGTGGCTTTCATTGCAATGTGCGTTTGTGCAAGAACACAAGGAAAGCTATTGAGAAGTGAAAAGTAAATGCAAACACACGGCGAATAAATCTTGAAGTTTAGTTATTCAGGTGGCTAAAGACATGACGTAGCGACACACACGATTGAAATGAAGAAGGAGAGACTCTCGCCTCATGTGCAGCCATGTTGTGCGATGATAAGGATTGAAATTAGGGCAAGCAGAAATAAAGAATGAATGGGACATAGTTTGAGTAAAACTCTTTTACATTTTATGGTTTGGTAAATAATATATTTAATACTAGAAAATATATTCATCTAGACAGAGTTAGACCATATGGTCTCTCCACTAGCAGTCTCTAGGTGTGGTCTAGTTCGATTAGTCTAGTCCTTTCTTTGGGTTCACTTTTCAAAATGAGTTTGTTCGGGTCATGCCAGGTTAGATCGGGTTATGAATTTCTTTTTTCACAATCTTATTTTAAGGTTTTTCTTAGTTTCAATGAAAATATTAGAAGTTACTTATAAAAAAAACTAAAGGGAGTAGTTGTGTTTCGTCATGGAGAGATTCAAATTCTTAACAATGTTGGGCCGTGAAAATGTAACAAAGTCACTATTTTATATGAGAATTTGGATTTAGTGAATGTCATACATTTACTCACTTAATGAATATCTTCTGTGATATAATAATAACCATTTAATTTAGTCAAAAGGTTATCAAATATTTTGTTATATGACGTAAAGAAAGTATTGAAATATCAAACTTTTAGATGGAACAATGTATTAAATGAAGAGTATTTTGGTTGTAAAGATTGTGTTGAATTTTTAAAAGAAGTATATCTTAATAATTTTTAAATATTAATTAAATTTAATTATTATAATTGAGCCACTTATTTGAGGGGATGACGTTAGAATAATTACCAAATTCAAATATATTATATGAAACAATGTGATGGAGTAAGTTAAAAGTGAAAGCGTGATGAAAGGAAAGCAGTGTATGAAAGAAGAGGTAAGTGAATACGATGGCCATGGCCGTCCAAGTCCAAGGCATTGGTAAAATGCCAAAAAAAATAAAAAGAAAGTAGAAAGAAACTATTCATGTAAAATATTTTTTAAAAACTTGTTTTATCTTTAAATATAAAGAATGTTGTGTTATTTTTTAGTAATTAAATAATTTTTTCCTTTTCTTAAAAAAAATAGGAGATATTAACTGTATACTTTATTAGCCACCATCATAATATTAATTATGACATTATTAAAAAAAACTGGTAAATTATTGTAATTTTATATGCTTTCAATTAAATACTATTTTTTTATTGGTACACACTTTATATATAAGGTTGGAGTAATAGATGAATATGAAATATTTTTATATTTTCTCTAAATATTTCTTTCCATTTAATTATAATTCTAAGTGTGTTTTGTCCAATTTCATCTTTCACACAAGCACCATCCAAGAACTCTTAAAAACCATGTGAAGTTTTGTTTAGCCAAGAAAGAAATAATAAATAAATAAATAAAGAGTGGGTGGGTGAGTCATGTGAAGTTGAACAAAGGCACCACATGGAACCTCCCTTGTGTCATGTAGTCCATATTAGACAAGCTTATCATTAATTTCATGTGAGGGCTAACGCTCTAGAGTATTTACTTTGTCAGCACCTTCCTCTTGTTTTACAAATTTCTTATTGTATTTTGGAGCTTTTAATTTTCTCCGATCCCTTGAAAATTAAAATTAGCTCATGCGTGAATAAAATATCTTTTGCATTGAAATATACAAAGGGACACAAACTTGGAATCTTGCTTATTCTAACTAGATTGCACTCTATACTTGCAAGATTTTGTAATAGCAGTAATTAAATCTCCCTTTCTTTATTTTTTTTAAAGAGAAAAAAACACTACAGTCATGTTGGAAGGGTTATTTAGTGCTTTTACCTCAAAAGATTTTAAAGTCATATAAATTTGATATGCAGTTAATAAAAACTTAACTTGTACCTTACAGATACTAAAATAAGTTATAATTTTGTTACTGATATAAACTCTTGGTTAATAATAAATGTGTATTTTTCTTAACATCTATTCTAAAAGTTATGAGACATACCTTACCTTTTATTTGAAGCCCAACCTATATTAGTATTACTTTTTTTTTTTAAAAATGTTATTGAGTTTTTTTTTGTAACAAACAAAATTACATTGACAATAACAAGATCAAAATACAAAGTTAGAATTCAAAGTCCAAGGTGAAAATCCAAATTCAAAATAAATTAAATCTTCCTAATTGAAATAAAAACGACATCAAAATGTATGGAAATGATCGAGCTATGTAAGGAGATTAGATCAATTGCAACAACATTATCTCACTTGTGTTCTGGTAACTCTACTTATCCAAAAGTTGTTTCTTTGTTTTTTTTTTCTTTTAATGCAATGGAGTCTCGAAGGCATGGAGGGAATGTTATGATTGCTATGATAGTTGAGTATCTACCAGATCAGTGATCTAAAGTAAATAAAGTAGAATAGCAGGGTGCCTTCCATTTGATGTTGTGAAGCATATATACAAGAGTTCATTTGAATGATTATCCGGCAATTAATGAACACTTTTTTTTTTAATTCATTAGATAAGTTCATTAGTCATCTGATTCACTACATTTATACATTAGATAAGTTCAAAGTTTGTTAGTGTGAATCGGCCAAACTAATAAACAAATTGTAAGTATATGCACTCCCGTATAAAAATCAATAAAGATTTAAAGGTATTATTGAATAACAAATTAAAAGTACCATAATCTCAAAGAATGCAAACCCCACTTAAAAAGTTTTAGAATTAGAATTAATGAGATAATGAAATGGGAGAAGTTCGTAGTTGAATGTGACAAAGTAATTAAACATATGGCATAATTAAGCATATTAGCTTCCAGAAATGTGGCATACACATAGTTTTAAAGGTGGTCCCCTAACGGAGGTAAGTGGAGCAGGTGACCAAGATGTTTAAGCATATGCCTCTCATAGTTTTAGTACACTTTTTATAATTAGATTGCTTTATTAGGTAATTCAGTTGGCATGATTTGCTTAAACAAGTTTACATTACGTGAGTTCTGCCTCACCAAATTGAATCAAACAATTTTGTTTCTCAATTTTTATTTGTGGAATCAAATCTACTTGGGCTTGAAACATAAAACAAAGTTTAGAATTGAAACATAAAAAAACATGAATGTAATTTGAGTTAGAGCAATCTCAAATTTCTAAATAAGATAACACTTTCGTTATATTTTTTGCACTTATAAGATTCAAATTTAAAATTTTGTTTAAAAAAATACTAAATACTTTGATGAGTAGAACAAGCTCATTTTTTTTTTGAATAAAACTCCATATTTGAATTTTATATAAAAAATTACATTGATAGAATTATATAAACTTGATCAAGTTTAAATTCCATGAGATAATACTAAGTGAATACTAAGTAGATATAGATTATAGAAAAGATATCACATATATAAATATTTTATTGTGTATAAGTCCTCTTGTTTTAAAAAAATCTCACATTAAAAATGTAAGACATTTTTTTTAAGATAAGATGTTTAAAAATATAAAGTATCTTGAATTTTTAAGATGCAATTAATAAGATTTTTTAAAAATACCTTTAATTAAGGATATAATTAATAATTTTTTTAAATAAGAGAAAACATGAAAAGAGTATGTAATTTTAAAAATAATTAACCAATATAATTTGATTAAATATGCATTATAAAAATAAACAAGTTGGTATTATTTAAAGCAAATTTAGCTAGTTTTGACTTTAATTCACCACCTGTTTATATCTTCTATTACAATGCATGCCTTGTTAAGACATGTAGGGCTGCGGAGCAATACAAAGATGTGAAATCCCAAATCTTTTCAAGGTTTGTGCATTCCAGTTTGTTTGAGACATCCCCCCTCGTTTAAACAAAGAGAAGAAGGAAAACGAAAAGAAAGCCTTTAGAAATCAAAATAGTAACCCAACTTGTCTTTCTTCTCACAGTGTATACGTGGATTTTCTCGGATCTTGTCTGCGCTAGAAATCAAGCATTAGTGACCCTAAATAGTATCATTAACAATCCCTTATTTGTGCCATTTCTCAGTGATTAAGCACAAATCTTTCTTCTTTCACAGGATTGGCCTTTTCCTTTTAGTGCTATCACTTTTCTTTCCCATTGATGAATCATTGTTCTTTTCCTGTTATTCTCTCTTTCTGATTTCCAATTCACTTCCTCTGATTGTTGCTTCTATACCGTACAATCTATATGACAGATCTCTCAGACCTGTAGTGAAGTGGTGGGTGAGCTGAAGAGATTTGTGAAAATGGCCGTTTTTTGAAATCTAGGGTTTCTTCAGGGGCCCTTTTCCTCAACAAAAGGGCCCTCGATCACTCTAAAGAAGAAGATGAAGCGATTGCTAGGGGGACCGGGGACTATCACAGGGTTGATGTTGAGATTAGCGCAATGCGCATTTGGTGCTGCTTCTATTGGAGTTATGGTCACTGCTTTTGGGTTCTCTAGCTACACTGCTTTTTGGTATTCCTACATCCATTTTCTACTTTTTGGTTGCTAGTGTGTGAATTTCGGATTTCCTGCTGCTTTTTACGCTATATCTGAAAAATAGTGTGATTTACGAATAAATCTACTTGGTAAGCTGCCACCGGTTAGGATCATTGTTATTCAGCTTAAGAGTGACCCAAGTACTTCTAATGAGGATGTATTAACGCTTCCTGAACAATATTTATCATGTGGAAATTGGTCTCTGATTGTTGTTTTCGACATTTGGCAAGGACTTGAGTTGTTCTAGTAGATACTATCACCATCAGGACTTGTTAATGAAGCGATTCAATTTAATGCAGGATCTCTAGGAACGGAAAGACTCATTATATTTAATACTTAGGAAAAGTTTCTCAGAAGTTTGTTGCCAGGTCTCCAATAAAAATCATGTAATGTGGATGCCCTTTTTTCTTTTGGGGGATTGTGTGCATGTATGTGGGGAAAGAATCATATGAATTCTCAGCTCAAAAATTTCTTTGCTTGTCATTTTCTCGTTGGAGAACGTGATGGAAGATACCAAATATATGTGCTTAATATTTGTCCTCATATTTAATAAGTCATTCACACGTGCTTCTTATTTGGGGTTATTTGTTGCATAGATGCATGCTCATTCTGTTGTCTTTGGCAGTGAGATTGACAAACTTTTGTTTAATATCTGATTAAGAAGTTTCTTGATCACCCTCATTGTTGATTTTGAGGCTATTTGAACCTATTTACACCTTGTTATTGCAATGCGAGTGATTGAGAGCCAATTTGTTCTGTTGTTTAACGCCAAATTCCAGTTCTTGCAACAAAGTAATCTAAAGCACTAACTGATCTAATTTTGATTTGTGTAAAGAAGGAGCTTTCAATTTGCCATTAGCTTTCAAACTGAAGAAGGTTTGATGATTGAGGACGATTGTCTTGATCAGATCTTTGTTAGTGTAACATTTTGAGTAATAGCATGAATCATGCTTATTTATGGTTAACTTTCAAATTTTATACATTTTAGGTTCTTATATAATATTTGACAGTTCTTGGCAAAAAGGAATTAGGGGGATTAGTTGTGTGTACTTTCCATATTAGTTCATAAATAAATTTAGTGCGTTTAATAACTTGTCATTTAATATGTGCTTGGTCCTCTCATTCTGTTCCTGCTGTGGGTATTCTAGTTATGTATGTGCTTAAAACACTGCATTTACTTACAGGTAAGCATCCCTTATGTGGGTATCCTTTATATTTATTTATGTATTTTTTTGACATGGATTTTGTGGAATGTATCTGCAGTAGTTACCACTGAAATCATTGTTGATAATAACTCCAACAATAATCTAAAATTCAACAGCATCAAGCAGTTGAATGTTTAAATCACAAATATGTCAAAATTGAATGACTTTAGCCGTTGGGAAGAATGAGAAAAGGTGAGTTCCTTCTGGATGAAGTGATGAACTAGAGGAAGGAGAAAGTGCCAAGAGAGATGAAGTCATAAAACTGAGAAAAACCAGAAAATAGCTTGAATAAGGACAGAGGAAGGAACAAGAAAGAGAAATCAGAACTCAGAAGTGAGCAATGAACCTAAATTGATATTTTGGCTGCATACTCATGTGGTGTACCACAATATGCCATCTGAATTTTGCGATGCCATGATTTTGCTTGGCAGTTGGCACAACTTTGACTTTACTTGATTGAGTTTTGAGTTGGCAGGGGGATAAACTATGGTCCAAGTATATAAAACACCAAAATGGGGCAGTATGGTCAATAATAAAGTCAATGGGTGCCTCACTACTTCATATATTGAAGAATGAGTCAACGCAACAGATCATTCATCAGAGTAGTAAATGAGCTGCTAAATAAAGACTTGTTTTAGAGATTTTTCCTTTTGTTACAGTTATTTTTTTTGGACTACGTATCAGTTTTAATTTATGAATGTCCTTCTATATCTAAATTGGCAAGGTGTCTATTTATCAGAAGCATGCCTTTTGAACTGGGTCACCAAAAGTTAATGGTGCTTGCTAAGGCTGCATGCACCTTATTCATGTTCTTGAGCATTGTCTGACTAAGATTCATCTAAGGATACGGCATCTGCTGGAGCTGGAGAAGTTAGGATTGAATATTTACATTGATTAATGTTTCATTTGCCTGTAAATAGAATTTTCCTTTTCTTTAGGCTTCAAACATATTATTCTCTTTTGTTCTTCCAATATCTATATACTTCTTGTCTGCACTTTCAGTTACTTAATCGCATCAATGGGACTTCAAGTGCTCTGGAGCTTTGGTCTTGCATGTCTTGACATTTATGCTGTGAGGAGAAAGAGAGACCTTCAAAATGCAATCCTTGTCAGCCTGTTTGTTGTGGGTGATTGGGTAATAATCAAGCCAATTTCCTTATCTTCTTTCTATCTTATTGAGGGGAAAAGGTCTATAAGCTTTTTATGGAGCTAGATTAAAGCGACTTTATGATTAAGCTTTTATCATTTGTATCACTTATTCTGGATGGACTGAAAAATTAATACACTGTGGCTGGTAAATCATTGAAATAGCCGTAACGAGATGGCTAGGCTTGCAAAATTTTAAAGATGTGCTCTGCATTGTAGTTTTCTTAGCTCTTATTTTTAGTGAACAACTAATGAATCATTTTGCAAACATCACTTAGAAGTAATTGAGGAGTTTGAACTTTGAAGCAAACTTTTATATGTGATCTGGTTTAAGGGCTGTGAGGGAAACTCAGTTTTTGGCCCAGAGTTGATGAAACCGGTGCCTTAGTGCATGAATTTATTTTATACTAATGGATTATTAATTTATTATAAAAGATTCTTCAACTTTCTTCTTGAATATTGATTGTTGGGAATTTTTTCTTTCTCATGTAAGAAAATGAGGGTTTTTTGTCTGCTTTCATGATGAAACATTTTGGGGGTTATTGTTAGATGTAATGATAAAACTATTAGTGGTCTTGCACCCGAGTTTTTGAGTTGAAATAGTTGACACAATATCGGAGTAATTATGGTCAGGTGGTACAGAGTTTGATCATTCCTGCCTCTAATTCTTTCAATTAAAATTAAGTCTCAGCCTATGGTATGACAAACCTTTGCTTTTCCCTTTTTTTAAGTCCACAGTACTTTTATATGATGGTTAGAACTTATAGAAAAATAATTCATTGGCCTTCACATAAAACTTGAACTTCTGAATAGAACTAGATATTTGCTTCCTGGTGATGATAGTAATTTATGAAATGCAGGTAACGGCTACTTTATCATTGGCAGCTGCATGCTCGTCGGCAGGAATCATTGTTCTTTATTCTAAAGACCTGGATTTCTGCAAGATTCAAAAGAGTCTCCCTTGCAGAAGGTACCAAATTTCTGTAGCCATGGCTTTTATCACCTGGGTTTTTACGGCAATCTCATCACACGTGATGTTTTGGATCTTAGCTTCTGTGTAGCTTTACCTATTTCCCTTGCCAGAAAGATGATTTGCACGTTATATCATCTTTGATTTCTGTTGTATATTTTGTTGCACGAGTAGATAGTTGACGCTGTAAATTTTGCTGTATCAGTTAGCTTGCTTCCACATGCTAGCGAAGCTTTCTAGAAAAATAAACTAAACCAATCATGGAGAGATATGTAGACATGTCATAGGTGAGCTTTACTAAGAAAATCAGTGGCATGTATACATAACTATTCATGATTAAGTTTAGTTTATATTTCTTTTGCAGATTGTGTTTAAGTTTTTCCTTTCACATTTTTTTCTGGACAAAATCTTCCATAATTTTCCTTGCAACTCAAGTATGATACTGACGCGCATTTTAAGAATTTGAATTCTTTATATCCACAAAAGTAAACGCTCGCGCTCACACACGCATTTACAAAAATATAAAGGAGATGGCAAGTGCAAAGATGGTCTGTGTATTTTACACTCTTGTATTTTCTATCATTCTCTTTCCCAATATACGAGTTTATAAAATTTGAAGATCGAAATTCATTTTCAGAGTAGGGTTTTCTTCCCCTCCCTGAATCATTTGATTTGTGCATGAGACTTGACGTGGTTTAAATATCGAATTAGATTATATATTTGGGGTGATGGTGGTACTTTTCTTTCATAGACATGCCACCATATTGCTGTCCATTAGAACTTTGACTAGAAACGAGCGGCCAATAAGCAGCCGCTAATTGCTTTTAATCTCTGGTCTCATCTATAACTAACCCACTAAATCGCTATCAACGACCAACCACTCTCAGCCAAGATGACCGAGATTGGATTGGATGGAGTGGTTGAATCAGGACATGTTCTTGTTCATACTAGCATTTCAAGCAGTGGCAGAGTCACAATATACATGAGAAGGTCGAGAATGAAAAGTATATATAGTGTAAGATCTATATAACCCAGGTGGCCCTGGCCTCTACCAATCCTGTCCTAACCCACTTAAACTTAAAACCAGCATCTTAAAGTACAATATACAAATTGTTTTGTGAAAGTAATTAATTCGTAACTAGCTCTGCAAAAGGACTTGGACATTTAAGTTTTGGGAAGGTCATTAGTAAGAATACAAATTAGGTACTCAATCTCATCGGAAATTTCCTTCATGGAAGGTCGATTCTGCCTCTGCTCTTCCAAGCAAGCCACTGCAAGAAACCCCAGAGACTTCATCGTCTCCAACTCCAAGTTGGTCGCTCCATCCTTCAACGCCGGATCCACCATGTCCAGAAGCCTCTCTTCCTTCATCATCTTCTTCCCATAAACCACCAAGTTCACATTCTCCTCTTTCCTGTTAAAATCAATAGCCTTCTCACGTGTGAGAATCTCCAACAACACCACCCCGAAGCTATACACATCACTTTTATCAGTAAGCTGAAAGTTACGATAATACTCAGGGTCGAGATACCCTAGGGTCCCCTGTGCACTAGTGAAGATATGGCTCTTGTTCGCTTCAGCTATCTCAACAAGCCTAGACAGCCCAAAGTCTGAGACTTTGGCATCAAACCTATCGTCCAACAGTATATTGCTTGATTTCACGTCCCTGTGGTATATAGGAGGCAACGCCGAAGAGTGAAGATAATATAGAGCTTGAGCTGTTTGGTGGGCGATCTTGAGCCTGTGGAGCCAGTGGAGAGGACGATCAAAACGGTGCGTGTGGAGGTGGTCGAAGAGGGTCCCGTTGGGGATGTATTCGTAGATTAGAAGGGGTTGGTAGTCTAGTTCGACACAACAACCCAGGAGGCGGACGAGGTTACGGTGGTTGACTTGGCAGAGGATTCGAACCTCGTTCAGGATTTGGTCGAGGGCTTTGGTGTTGCTGAGCTTGGCTCGTTTGATGGCTATGACGGTTCCGTCGTCGAAGGTTCCTTTGAAGACTTCTCCGAAGCCGCCGGTGCTGATGAGGTTGTCTTTGGAGAAGTTGTCGGACGCCTTCTTTATTTCTCTCATTGTGAAGATCCTGGCTGATAGCCCACAGTTGGCTTTCGCGTTTAAGATTCGTTCCTTTTGCTTCCTTAACTTCATCTCGGCTTGTCTCTTTGATTTGTCATGCTGCTTGTACAGAATAATGCTCACAAACAGCGCAATGAATACTATTGCTCCCAAGGATGCTCCCACGGCTGAGGAAAACAAAATCCCAGAAAATTACCATCATGTTTAAAGCCCAAATTTTTTTTAAAAAATTGTAATTTTCAAAATGTATGCAAACATATTCAATTTTTGAGATCAATTTGTATACATGAAGCAGAATGTGGATTTTCCACAAATAAAAAAATTATAGACATATACCAACAAAAAAGGTATAAACATTACATTGGAGGGGTAAATTTATAAGCAAGAGTCTATCAACACACACACACACACACACACGAGGTTGATTATTTATTACATTATTACCTACCGGCGAGTGGCATGGCCGCCTTCTTCCGATGAATAGGCTTGCATTGTTTACCTTTTTTATCGTGCATTGGGCAGGTTACATCTACATTGTGATGATAGAAGACAATGTTATTAACTAACTTGGAATGAAGGATTCGACTGGAATTCACACTGAGAAATCTCAAGCATGATTTTTAAATAAGGAGAAAAACATGAATAAAATATTTCAATGAAAATTACTATTATTGTTATCATCACGAGCTAATATGGACCTGTTTTGTCTCTTGATACTTCCCTCCTAATATCCCTTTAACACTCACATTAGCAGGTTTCTGTTTCTTTTTTTTTTTTTCCTTTTTCTTTCTAAGTTTACGTTTATGCTTTTTATCAAACCCACCTACCCATGTGAGTGCAACAAGGAGGTATCAGGAGCGGAGCCAGAATTTACAGATAAACCTCACTTAAAATAGCAAGTTACACGACACCTTAATTTAATTTTACAATATTTTTCTTGAAACAACTTCTGCATTTAAAATTAATATATAATTATAAGGAGATATTTAAATTTTTATAAATTATAAACAAAAAATTTCACTTACTTTTTGGTCGACCATGGATTAGTTGACACAAACCATTGGCAGGGTCCCACTTGAAGCCAGCATTGCAAAGGCACTTCATTTGCCGAGCATTGATCGGATCCTTCAAACATGTGGAGTTCAACAGCGCCTTGCAATCCGTCGGCCCCTTGCAAACTGGCTCCTCCGGTATCACCCACTCCAGCTCTATTCCCGGCTCCGGCCATTTCTTCAGCTTCCGAGCCATTGCCTCATTGAGATTTACAAAACTCTGATACGCAGCACACTCTCCTCCATGCACCCTCACCATGTCCTCCGAGAACGGCCTACCAGTCCTGAAGCTGCAACATAGCTCCACGCTCATGCACGCTCCGCCGGAATCTGCATGGTCCTTAATGTAGCTATGACAGAGGCCATTCAGTGAACAGTCCATGGGCGGTTTTGATTTCTGCATCGCGTTCGTACAGTTGTACAGAAAGACGGTGTTATTGCTGGTGATTTTAAAGGGAAGGTTCTTGTTCAAGCGTATGCCTTCGCTGCTGAGGTCTGTGGACACACACGTCTTCGGCGCCATGCTTGCAGGTCGTATAATGATCCGTCGGGTTATCGGATTGATGGACTTGATCATATAAGATGATCCACCAAGAGCGTCAAGCCACAACTTGCTTGTTACGCACTTTATATTGTACATCGGGTGGCCACAGCCGGGTCCTGTGCTTAACGGGTACGGAACAGTATTCAAGCCGCAGTTGCGGCAGCTTCGTGCTGCCGTGCCACTGGCGCAAGATAGCAGGATCACCATTATGAAAATTAAGGTTATTACTGCAGGAACTGTCTGTTGCACCATTGGAGAGCAAACAGTAGAATGAAAATTGGCAGGTAGATGGAAAGATGGAAACAGGATTATAATTTGAGGTGAGGATTGAGTAAATATTTTGAGGAGCCAAACTCTCGTAACGTGACCCAAAAAAAAAAAAAAAAGTACTACAAAGCTTCTTTAGCTAGAGACCTTGATCGTAACTACTATTGTTCGACAAGAGTTTTAAGAGTGTTGAAGGTTGCCTAGGATTGCATGTAGGGGATAGGGAATGATCAAAAAGAAAATTTACGTCGAATCCTATGAAGATATTGTAGGGAACTGTACTGATGGCGTTTCCAAATTAAGTTGTAGATTACTTTTGAATGCTCAAGGGGACCAATAAAAGGACTAAATTCGTATATAACTTAGCCATGAAGCCACGTTCAGCTGAAAGCATTGCATGTGTCTTGTTTAGGTTTTCCCAGAGTGTGTCACGTTCTTCTAAGGGGGATGTGCACGTGCTTTGACAGCTTTAATTTCTTCACAGAAAGGGTAAACCAATATAATGTTCATGAACTATAAATGGCTCGCAAACACACATATTGTGCTTTCGGGATTTAGTAATCTAGTTTAAAACATAAAATACTGTTCCGTGCATATCCCAAAAGTAACCTTTACATTACACAGCTGATGATTCATATTAAAGTGCGTATAGCTAATATACTGCATTGTGAGTGTTTGTGTTCATCAGAAGACCCTTTTTGAGAATTTCAGAAACTGCATACGATCCGAAGTTCTCATACTTGGAGTTCGAAAGATCGAATAATTCGTAGGTTTTTGTGCCCCGAGTTTGTTGGTTTCGATGGTGGATTTCACATGACATCTGTCGTCATGTTAATGGACGGTTGCTGGGGTAACTTGTATGAAGAAAGCAAATAGACATCATCACATTTTAGAATGTAAACTCCTACTTCCATGGTTCTTCGATCCAGCACAAAATGGTATTTGTGCTCTCAATTAACTTGATGTCCGATTGACTTCCCATTTCATTTATAAAATTAGGTATATAAAGCTCGAGCTGACACTCGCCCTGTCAACTATTTTATAAGCAGTGCAGCTTTTCATAACGTTTTTTTTTTAAAAAAAAAAATCCTATATATATTCGATCATTCATATATATATATATATATATATATAAGGTGTGTTCACATATTGGATGGTTGTAATCAAGTGATTTCGGTATAACAATAAAGCATTATATCATACTATCATGTTTGAGTGTAGTCTAGATAATGAAATGACAAGAGAGGTAATATCAAAAAAAGGCGCATAGGACCTCAGAACCTTTATCTCTTTATATAGGATTAGGGTAAAAACCCTAGTGTACAAGAATGTGAGAACAAATGTACCATTATAGAAATATACAAAGGGTTAAAGTACAAATGTACAATTACAGGAACATACAAAGGATTGAAGTCTATTATTGCCTTTGAACTATATTATCAAAATCACTCAGTATCCTATACTTTCCTTTAGTTCATTATTGTCTTTAAACTATCAAAACTGGTTCATTTTTGCCCCTACCATTACTTAAAGTTAAGTTTGACTCTAAATAATTTTTGTTGACTAAAACTATCCAGTTGGCATCCACCTCAGCAAATGACTCAAATTTTTTAAAAAATTACTACATCTCCCCTGTCAGCCTCAGCAACGCATAAGCCATGAAAACATGAATTGGCAGAAATTCAAACCAAAAAGCCATAGAGAGCGTCTCATCGCCGATGAAGAGAAATCAGAAAAATCCCAAAACAAATCTCAACCTAGAACCAATCTATCTAAACACAAAAATCATCCCATGCTAAAGCATAAATTGGCACTTATAAACTAGAAATCAAAATCAAACAAAGGCATAAAATAAAACCAAAAACCAATCTATCCCAAGACAAATAGTGTAAATTACAGAGAAAACTTAGCCATTTACAACCAATTTCAAAATATGCCGATAAACAAAAATCCAAAAAAAAAAATCAACCAGAACCAATCTATCCAAATAGCAATATAAAAATCAAAGAGAAATAAGAAAAATCTAACAAATCGAGAACAAATCCTTGAACAGAGTCAAAGCCCAAGTGCTAATGAAGAGCACAATGTGCTTTTGTTGGTTTGGATCATATGTCTCTGATGGTTGATGAATGATGAGGATGAAGAAGAAGAAGCGGGGTTGCCAAGGTTGACTGGACAAAGTTGAAGATGGCGCAAGGTGGAGAGAAATCCAAATTGGAGGTTGAAGTCTGGAAACATAGATTTGCTTCACCGTCTTGAAGAAGGTGTGATAAGGAGAAAAACCCAGACCACAAAAATTCCTTCCCCTAAAAGATCCAACATAATCCCCTGATTCTACTTCCCTTTTGAGTATGGAGGAAGCCTAGGTTGCATAGATACGGGTACGAGTATCCGATACGATACAGCATGATACGGGGATACGGCAAATTTTCAAAATTTTAGGATACGGGTACGAGAATATTTATAATGTATATTTCAACATTTTATGATGTAAGTATAGGTATTTTGATTTTTAAACAAGAATTTCTAAAGCAATATAAGGATATTTATAGTAATTAACTAAAATATTAAGTGTTTTTTCAAGTTTTTAAGTGATATAGTAAAAAATTATTGAAAAAAAATCATATAACAAATGTTAGAATATGGGATACGTATGTAGAAGTATCCTACAAGTATCGTATCGGATACGTATCGGATACGGGTACGTTTATTTTTTTGAAGTATCCGTGCTACATAGGAGGAAGCTTGAAGGTCGGCAAATTGCAGGTTGAGTGAAGGAGGGAGCGTCAAACTTGATGGCGATCAAAGAGCAGAAAGGCCTTAGTGAAATGAACAACGATGAGAAGCATAAACTTGTTGGACTCATCAGTGAAGCCATGGACGAGGGTAACAATCATCATTGAATCCTTCACGATCTCGACTCTTCCGTTGAACTTAATCACACAAGTAGCTAACCCATGGATTGGAAGTATGGACTAGGTGGAGGGGTAAGACGATGAGGTAAAGGGAGAGAGGGTGAGATGATGAGTTAGAGTCTAGGTTTTGTGGGCTTGGATTTTTCTCCCAAGATTGAAGGTATAGAAAAATCGATAGAGATGAGGAAGGAAGAGGAGTATGTGGATTTTGATAACTACACTCTTGCCCTTCTATGATAATCAGAATATAGCCCTCTCCCGCATGGCACAACATGTGGCAAAACATAGTCAAATTTCTATGACTAGATTGCCACCTATGCAAATTTACGGGACCCACTTGCCTTACTTAACATTCGTCGACCTCAATTTAATGGTAGGACATTGGGTGACCTGATTTTAAGAGCTTAAGGACAAGAATAGACTAAAGAAAAGTATAAGACACTAGGTGATCCTAAGAGTATAGTTGAAGACATTAACTCATATACAAATTACATCAAATGGGTTACTTTACAAGAGACATTTTTAGGCCTCAAGAGCTCATTTGTTAACATGTTGACATGCCCCCTCAAACGAGAGCCTGGAGATTTTGAAAGGTCAAGTTTGTCTGTGAGAGAAAGAAAGAGAGAATGTGTCATTGCCTTTATGAAAAATGTTTGCTCCATTCTAAGAGGAGGGAACATACTAAACTATTAAGCTCTGATATATCACTCTATCTTTGACAGAGTGCACATCCGATTCTATATGATTTGTTCTTCCATGGTAAACTAGGTTCAAAGCTATAGCAATAGCACTTAATTAGATTATTGCACCATGCAATTAGGGGGGTTGATTGAGTTTCAAACCAATTTCAAAAATCTACAACCGTAACCAAGCAAGCTCAGTAGCAAGATAAGCGAGGGACCTATACTTAAACTTCATACTCAACTTGGTGACTACCCTTTGTTTCTTTCCTGGCAAAGAAATTAAGAAATAACCAAAGAAGACACAATGACCTCCAATTGACTTTTTATCATCCACACAGACTGCCTAATCAACATTAGAAAAGCCTTAAAGATTCAAGTAAGTACTTGGCCTGGTATGTAAAGTGAGATCTATAGAGCCCTTCAAATATCTACATAATCATTTAATAGCTTGCCATTGCTTGCTATTGGTCTCTGAAGAAATTGACTAAGTTTGTTAGCAAAGAACATAATATCAGGCCTTGTATTCACCAAATATTATAGATCACCAATAAGCTTTTCTGTAAAGCGTATGGTTCTATAGAGGAATGCCATAATAGATTGAAAGGTTGTATGACAACTATAGGTGTTGGCATAAGTGAACAATTTTCCATACTTCACTTTCTCAAAAGCTCATGTATATACTTCTTCTACTTAAAATACTGTCTAGTAATATCTCTATAGGTCTCCATACCCAGAAAATTATTGAACCCTTATTTTGATTGTTACAAAATTAAGAGAAGATTGTGTTTCATAGGTTATTTAATTATAACTAAGCTAATTGACAAAACATTGAATTGTAATTTACTTAAAAAGTAGGTTTTGAATTCTAAATCATGTGTGCCAAAATTCTTTTCTAATACCTCATCCCTTTTTTTAAGAAATCATGTCTTGGTTAAGTATTTGACTTAAATATGCCTTTTAAATACTTAAGTATCCTTGTATAAGTTTTTTAGAGGAATTTTGTGTTAAAAATCTCTTTCTAGAATTTTCTTTTTGCGTAAGTGCCTTTAGTGTCGGCATTGTGCTTATAGCACCAATGCCATCGATCATTTGCTTCACATTATCTACTCTAAGACTTAACTTTTGTGCCTTTAATATTGAAACTATTCACTTAGCACCTAAGTTACTCATGTTCTCCATAATTTTCTTTTCTAAAATTCCTTATCTCATTCTCTTATTTCTCGTTTATCACTTGTACTTCTTTGATAACATCTATACTATTGCTTAAAACACTAATAGTTTCTTTTGTCAGAAGTTTTCTGAGTTAAGTTAACACATGTGCTAACTTGATAGCACTGGTGCTATCCTACAAGACTCTCTACACATACGCTACTGACATAGCATCAGTACTTCTTTTAACTTGACTCTCAGGAACTCTATGTTAATTGTTTTAATACTTGTGTTATTCCTTCTAGCACCCGTG